CAGATTGCAGAGCCCCAGGGTGTTGAGTGAATGTAGGCAGCAGCCAGGGAGTGGCTACAGACCCAGTGTTGTGCTGGCTTCAGGTCTGACCCAGTATAGTCAGTGATGTGGCCACTAGGGTGCTTGTGTCACTCCACCCCAGCTTTAGGTGGCTTGGAACAGAGAGACTCCATTTGTCTGGGAGAAAGTAAGGGATGAAAACAAGAGCTTCTGCCTGGTAATCCTGAGAGTTCTCCTGGATCTTATTCAAGACCATCAAGGTGGTACATTTACGGGTCTTCAAGAACCACAGTGTTACTGGGCTTGGGGTGCTCCTTAAGGCTGATAGAGCATAGATCACAACACAAAGTCCTTTCAGATGCCAGGAAAGCCTTCCAAAGGAGGGGTACAAATGAGCTCAGACAGTGAAGACTATAAGAAATGTCTACTTCTTCAATGCCCAGACACTGAAGAACATCTACTAGGTTAGTGCAAAAGTAACTGTGGTCTTTACTAGCATCAATACCATCCAGGAAAACATGACCTCACCAAACGACCTAAATAAGGCACCAGGAAGCAATCATGGAGAAACGAGAGATATGTCACCTTCCAGACAAAGAATTCAAAATAGCTGTGTTGAGGAAACTCAATGAATTTAAGATAACACAGAGAAGGAATTCAGCATTCTATCAGATAAATTTAATAAAGAGACTGAAATAATTAAAAAGAGTCAAGTAGAAACTCTGGAGCTGAAACATGCAACTGGCATACTGAAGAATGCATCAGAGTCCTTTAATAACAGACCTGATCAAGCAGAAGGAAGAATTAATGAGCTTGAAGACAGACTATTTGAAAATACGTGGTCAGAGGAGACAAAAGAAAAAAGAGGCTGGGCGCGGTGGCTCAAGCCTGTAATCCCAGCACTTTGGGAGGCCGAGACGGGCGGATCACGAGGTCAGGAGATCGAGACCATCCTGGCTAACATGGTGAAACCCCGTCTCTACTAAAAAATACAAAAAAGTAGCTGGGCGAGGTGGCGGGCGCCTGTAGTCCCAGCTACTCGGGAGGCTGAGGCAGGAGAATGGCGTAAACCCTGGAGGCGGAGCTTGCAGTGAGCTGAGATCCGGCCACTGCACTCCAGCCTGGGCGACACAGCGAGACTCCGTCTCAAAAAAAAAAAAAGAAAAAAGAAAAAAGAATAAACAAACAATGAAGCATGTCTACAGGGTCTAGAAAATAGCCTCAAATGGGCAAATCTAAGAGTTATTGGCCTTTAAGAGGATGTACAGAGACAGGGGTAGAAAGTTTATTTGAAGGGATAATAACAGAGAACTTCCCAAACGTGGAGAAAGATATCAATATCCAAGTACCAGCAGGTTATAGAACACCAAGCAGATTTAACCCAAAGAAGACTACCTCAAGGCACTTAATAATCAAACTCCCAAAGATCAAGGACAAAGAAAGCATCCTAAAAGCAGCAAGATAAAAGAAACAAATATATAATGGAGCTTCAATATGTCTGGTAGCAGACTTTTCAGTGGAAACCTTACAGGCGAGGAGAGAGTGGCATGACATACTTAAAGTGCTGAAGAAAAAAACTTCTACCTTAGAATAGTATATCTGGTGAAAATATCCTTCAAACATGAAGGAAATATAAACTTTCCCAGACAAAAGCTGGGGGATTTCATCAACACTAGACCTGTACTACAAGAAATGCTGAAGGGAATACTTCAGTCAGAAGGAAAGGGTGTCAATGAGCAATAAGTAATCACTTTGAAGGTACAAAACTCACTGGTGATAGTAATTACATAGAAAAACACAGAATATCATAACACTCTAATTGTGGTGTGTAAACTACTCTTATCCTAAGTAGAAAGACTAAACAAATGAAATATCCTAAGTAGAAAGACTCTTATCCTAAGTAGAAAGACTAAACCAATAAAAAATAATGACAAATCTTCAAGACAGACAATACAATTAAGATATAAATAGAAACAACAAAAAAGTTAAAAGCAAAGTTAAGCGGGGACAAAGTCAGCTCCAGAATTTCTGCTCGGTTCTTTTTAAATAAGTTAGTTAAGGGACTAATAAAAACTAGAGTTACCAGCTTAAAATAATGGGTTTTAAGATAGTATCTGCAAGCCTCATCATAGCCTCAAACCAGAAAACATACAATGGATACACAAAAAATAAAAAGTGAGAAACGAAATCATATCACCAGAGAAAATCACCTTCACTAAAGGAAGACAGGAAGGCAAGAAAGAAGACCATAAAACAACCAGAAAACAAGTAATATGGCAGGAGTAAGTCCTTACTTATCAATAATAACAATAAATATAAATGGATTAAACTCTCCACTCAAAAGACAGAGTGGCTGAGTGGATGAAAAATCAATTTTACCATGTAATGATCCTTCTAGTGTTTTCCCCTCCAAACATCTTATGATTGTATTGTCAAAGTTGATCAAGTTATTGGTGTTACAAAAAATATCCACTTGGTCACAGGGCTCCATTGAGCATAAATGAAGAATTAAAATATAGCATAAACAATACTTTAAAACAGTATCAATCTTGTCATTGAATTGTCCTACCAATATTCCATAGTCATAGGTATGAAGAGGCAGAAACTCTTCCTTTGATGTTGACAATCAGCCTTCCATATTGAAACAAGGTTTTGTGTATCGTCTGCCTGAGAAGCTGCCCTTCCTCTTTGCTAGCTACCAGCTCTCTTAATAGATGTTATAAGAAATTAATTTTCTTAATTTTATAATAATATTTTATGTTTCTTGTAAAAGAAACATCCAAAATGCAGCCTTTCCTTTGGTTCACTTTTTCTGTTAAATTTAAAAATTATATAATTACTTTGGATTAAAAACATATTTATATATAAAATAGTAATATATTTGTATATATATAATTTGTAAATATATATAGTATGATTTTCATGTATGCATCTGTGTATCCTCTCTGCTTCTTCCATTTAGTGAACTGTATTCACTAACTGTTAGTGACCGTTTGTTTTGGATAGTGAGATTTTTTTTTCCTCACAGGTTTTTTAGAGATGGGCCCTTCCTCTGTTGCCCAGGCTGGAGTGCAATGGTGCAATCCTAACTCACTGCAGCCTTGAACTCCTGGGCTCAAGTGGTCCTCCTGCCTCAGCCTCCTGAGTAGTTGGGACTACAGGTGCATACCACCGCACCTGGCTAATTTTCAAAATTTTTTTTAGAGATGGGGTCTCACTACGTTGCCTAGGCTGGTCGCAAACTCCAGGCTTCAAGCGATCCTCCTGCTTCCCCAACCTCCCAAAGGGCTGGGATTACAAGTGTGAGCCACCATTCAATCTTTAAAGACTTTTCTGATGAGATCGGTAGTGATATAAATGATTTTGGTAAGGAATGATGAACATTTGCAAACCTCTATCATTCAGTGAATTGTTAGTTTCCAAACAACAATGCAGATGTTAAGAATCACTCCTGGGTAAAAGTTTCATTCAAGGTGCAAGACAGGTCAATGTGTTGTAATGCATCAGGACATGAAAGCTCATTGATATGATTTCAGATTCCACATGGCAGCTAACCTTTTCTTTTTCAAAATAACTTTTATTTTGAAATAGTTGAAGACTCACAAGAAGTTGCAAAAATAGTATAGAGAGTTCTATGTATCCTTCACCCAGCTCCCCGTAATGACGGTATCTTACACAACCAGATCAAAACCAGGAAAACAATGTGGGCGCAATTCTATTAATTCAAATACAACCCTCAGTAGCATTTCACTAGTTTTCATATGCACTTGTTTCTTTTCTTTTTGTCCAACTAACCTTCAGAAAACTACCATTTGTTGAGTTTTGGTGTTGGCATAAAAAAAGATTTGGTGTTGGTATCAAAAAAGAACATCCACAATGATCAGAAAAAGAACATTAAAATATTCCTCCTCTTTCCAACTACTGATCTGTGTGAGGCAGTATTTTCTTCATATATTATTATTATTATTATTTTGAGACAGAGTCTCACTCTGTCACCCAGGCTGGAGTGCGATGGCACAATCTTCTCTCACTGCAATCTCTGCCTCCCAAGTAGCCGGGATTACAGGCACCTGCCATCATGCCTGGCTAATTTTTGTATTTTTGTAGAGATGGGGTTTCACCATGTTGGCCAGGCTGGTCTTGAACTCCTGATCTCAGGTGATCCGCCCGCCTCAGCCTCCCAAAGTGCTGAGATTACAGGCATGAGCCACTGTGCCCAGCTGATTTTCTTATATTTTAACCGAACACACATATCACAACAGGTCAAACATAGAATCCAACTAGCTTCAATTAGGCCAGGCATGAAAGAGGTTTGTAAAAATGTAAAACAGTATCATTTTTCTCATTAAACATTTATTTTTTATTTTAAAGACAGAGTCTCACTCTGTTGTCCTGGCTGGAATGCAGTGGTGCAATCGTGGCTCACTGCAGCCTTGAACTTCTGGGCTGAAACAATACTCTTTCCTCAGCCACCTGAGTAGCTGGGACCACAGGTGTGTCCCATCACGCCCAGCTAATTTTTGAAGTTTTTGGAGAGATGAGGGTCTCACTGTTGCCCAGGCTGATCTCAAACACCTGGGCTCAAGTGATCCCTCCACTCTGGCCTCCCAAAGTGCTGGGTTTCGCTGAACTTTTTTGTTTTGGAAAATATAGTTATTTTTCCTTCAAGTGTTATATTAATATGCAATAAGATTATTTATAAATGAGTAATTTTTTATCTTAGTTTTCATCTCAAATGCCATCAACACTGATACCTGTAACCCTCATAAACCAAAGCTCGCTGGGGCCCTCAGTGGTTTGCAGGATTCTAAGAGCTCAGTGCTCTGTAAGGTAATCCAGGTGCCTCCTCCTACAGAGCTCCTGGACTCTCTAAAAAAGGCCAGAACCTTTTCATTCATTGATTTAAACACACATATTTGTCATACCACAGCTTATTCAGAGGAAATTAAAAGTTCAGAAGCTTCCAGAGTGATTGTCAATAGGGGAAATATGATACAAACTGTATATTAAAGTGATATTTTATTAGACTATTTACTACTTAGTCTAAATTCAAGTACAGTAGTCAAAGAAATTATTCATCAACTTTGTTGAATTCACATCTTTCATTTTAGAATAACAGCAGACTTTAAGCATGTATTATTTTTCCAGTGTTCAGCTTAGTCTAAGACTGTGTGAGTCTGGTTTGATCCATTGCCGTGAAGAATACACAGACAGCAGCTGTAATGAGCAGATGCATTCCCTCGTAGAGAAGTTTTGGAGAAAATACACTCCATATAAATAAATGATAACGCAGAGATGTCACCAAAACGATATATGTGGAAACTGGAATAGAACAAATCAGCGCGTAGCAGAAGCAAGCATGACTCAGTGCTGAACTGCTGTTAATAAGAAAGAAAATGTGTATTAGCACATGCCACTTACATATCACGCATGTAACAACACTTTTACTTTCAAAGAGACTCCAGTAGCTCTTGCCCTTGGACTAGAGGGCACCGCGTTCCTTCTTCCGCACACACATCCAGTCACTATGGTGCTGGGACAGGTGCCTCTCCAGATGCCCGGGAGACGGGAAAACCCATCCTGCCCCCTTGGAGGCTGTGTTCTAGTGAAGGAGGCAGGAGACACCAGATACGTAACATGTCAAGAAGAGACAAATTCATGAAGAAAAATGAAGCAGAGTAAACAGAAGAAGGATGGGTGAGGGCCACCACGTCCCATACACGCACCTTGAGCTCTCCAGAAATGCTTCTAAAATTTGACTGTATATAAAAATCACCTACAGTGTGTGCTGGAAGTGCCACTCTGGAGTCCCTCCCCACAGAAATCTAGATGTGGTTGGTCTGGGATGGGCAGAGGTCTGTGTCTCCACAAGGCACGGAGGCGCCCGAGGGGACATGAGCTGCAGCCCCAACTGCTCAGCAGTGCCACTGTCTGCCACCGTTGTCTGTAAAACAGCTCTGAAAAACGCACCCCAGACTTTGCACAGTTATTTAAAAATTACATATCCATGTGCTACCATATCACATGCATTATAAAATACAAACAATGAATAGAAAATCACAAAAGGGTGAGATACAAATAAACATAAATACAAGTTCTGAGCTTTTCTCCCTGCTGTTGTGTGGAGGACCACGTCAGTCCGTCTGGTCTGGGGACACTGGCCCAGCAGGGTTTGCTGAGCAAATCCACAGGGAAAGACAGCATTCTCAGAAGAGCCACCCCTCGAAGTACGTTTATGTACTCCCCTAGTTTTCAACCCACCAACACATTACATAAGTCTCTTTCTCAAAGCAACTTCCCGTGAGTCTGTGATTATTGAAAAATGATAAATTCCATTATTTGGGCACTTTCCATGCCTCATCCATGACCTCTGATCAAGTCCTGTTAGAAAGGGCCCAGGGGGCAGCCCTCAGACCCTCAGAGGCCGGGCCTTCCAGGATCCGAATCTAAGTTCTGGCTTTGTGGCCTCACCGCAAAAGCAGCAGCGAGTGCTGAGCTGACCTGTCTGTGCTCTCTGTTCCCCAAGTCCCACTTCGCAGCTGCCTGGTCTCTCTGTTCCGTATGTCCCACTTCGCCACTGCCTGGTCTCCCTAAGCATGACCTCCAGCACTCACGGGGCAGCCTGTGCTGACTGCGCAGACACTCGTGCAAGCATGCCAGTGTGCAGACGTTCAGGGCACTGCTGACACAAAGCCAGACACCTCTAAAGTCCAGTGTGGGCGGCGTGTGGGCGCTTCCACCATGGTGGACGGTTCCTTTGGCTCAGAGGCATTCATGCTGTTGACAGCCTCAACACAGGAGGTGAGCGGCGAGGGGCTCCTTTTAGGGCGGGGAAAAGCTCAAAGGCAGGGCACAGGCGTGTGTCTGGGTGTGTGGGCCCCACCGCATGTCTTGTAAAGGGCTCCTCAGTCCTGTCAGCCCAGCAGCTCCGCCAGGTGCTACTTGAGGGTGTCCTGTAAGCGGATCCTGCTTCAGTGCTCACTGCTCAGGAAAGGGCGTCAACAGCCACGAAGGGCCAAGGACGGGGCTGTCTCTGGCCGGAGGTGCCTGGTACCTCGTGCTCCCAGCGACTGTCTCTGGCAGGGAGCTCAGGCCGACCCCTCCACAGCCTCACCTCAGCCCCTCACTGGCTCGCCATCTCAGGCCTTGGAGGGCCCCTTCTTCCTCCTGGCTTCTCCAAACACTCCTTCACCTCAGCCTGCCATGCACTCCGGTCAAACACTCAGACCCTGGGATCTCCCTGTGGGCGGCCCTGGTGCCTCTGTTTCCTTGCCAGGCCCAGGCTCCTTAGGCGGGTCCCCAATCCCGTACCGCTGGTCACCACTTGGTATCTAGTCCCACAGGCGGGGAACCCACAGGGAGGTGGACCCCAAGTTATCCTCGACACACCCCCTGGTGACAGCAACACCTGGGAAAAGTTGAAGAGACTCTGCAGGAAGCTTCAGGGCTAAGTGGGCTGTGGCCCCATCCTACCCAGATAGCGCGCAGGAAGCTGTGGCTTAGACATGGTACCACCCTGACTTCAGTTTAACAGTTTTTAGCGTTACCCATCTAGAAGATGGCGGCTTGCAGTTCCCACCACCTCAGCAAAGAGCCATGTGCACTGCAGGGGAGCAGGCAGCCCGGGGTGCGAGCCCGACGCCAGCCCCTGGAACAGAGGGTTGCCAGCCACTCAGGGCCACATTTTTGACCTGCTGGAAATGTATTTTCTGTCTACCATTTAGACCTAGTTACAGTTTTTCTACTCTACTGAAACAAAATAGAAACCACGAGTAAAACTTGATGCTTTAAGCTTTTAAAAGGGAAGGAGAAAACCCTATAAAATGAAGGAGAAATGCTCCTTGACTAGGAAAAGTATCATATGATACTCTCCAATTGATCAAAATGCCTTCACCTCACTTTAAAAAGATGCTTTCATTTGTCTTTTTCCCTCCCAAATACAAACTGCCTGGCTATGTAAGAGGTGAAAAGTGCCTGGTCCATCAAACTGTAATCTGCAAGCCCCAGGGCAGCTGCAAGGCCAATGACCAAACCTACAGAGAGAGGAGCCGGGCAAGTGTTTCCAGCCCTCAGTCCCCAGCTGGCCACTGGCAGGTGTGCCGTCCACACAGCAGGTGCTTGATCACGCCGTGCACAGCTGCAGCACATCCGTTCTCCAGGGTGGAGGCGGGTGCACCTCCACGCGCTCACGCCCGCTTGTCCTGACACCTGACCACACGACGTGCTGACAGCCCATCCCGGACGGCCGAGGACGGGGCCGCCTGTTTTTATAAGCCCAGTGTGAGCGCGCAGCTGGCCTCAAACAATGAGAGAAAGACATCCCAGGTCAGCTGCTGAGAGACCAGCGGGCGCTGAGCAGGGGTCTCACGGCAGACGTTTGTTTCTACACAGAACCTAAGTCGGGACGGACGTCTCCACACAGCCCCGCCACGGGGCTCGTCTCCCTGGCTGGTCTGTTGGTGGCTTCCGCCCCCAGAACCTCAGCTTTCTGCTGTGATGACAAGCTCAGCGGTGACTGTAAATTACGGGGGTCTGTCCACAGACTGCCCCAAAGTGGGCGTGTCAAGCATCCACAGGCACCTGAAGAAAACACAGGTGAATCTCAGGTATTCCTGTCCTTGGGAAGCTTGCAGTCTGGCCAGGAAGCGATTCTCACCTTGGAAAGGCTCCCATGTCAGCTGTGGGAAGCACATGCCTACCACTGCTAAAGCAAGGCCAATGCTCCCCAACCCCTTACGGAAACCTGTGAGTAACTGAGGGGTCCAGCCTGGGCCCGCCGAGTCTGCGGGGCGTGAGCGCTTCCACCATGGTGGATTGGACGGTTCCTTTGGCTCAGAAGCATGCATGCTGTGAGAGCCTCAACACAGGAGGTGAGCAGCCAGGAGCTCCTTTTAGGGTGGGAAAAGTTCAAAGGCAGGGCACAGGTGTGTGTGCCCGGGTGTGTGGGCCCTGCCCACATGTCCTGTAAAGGGCTCCTCAGTCCTGTTAGCCCGAGGACACCTCTGTGGAATGTCGACAGGGGGCTGGGCATCTGGGTCTGGAGGCAAGGGCAAGGGTCCCTGTGGCCTGGGTCTCAGGAGCTGGTCTGGGGAGGGGAGTAAGGTGGGGAGAGGGCCTGGGTGGAGCTGAGAGAATGACCTGGTGAAGGAGGCTGTGGAGCAGAGCCAGAGGGCGGAGCGGGGCCACAGAAACGTGCAGAGTGCTCTGTGGAGTCACTGGGAGCTCCGCAGGAGAAGCCTCTAAGTGTCCTGGGAGGGCTGGCATGGGGGCTCAGCAGTCAGCACCGCGAGAGACTGTTCAGTCATGGGAGGACGTAGAAGCCCTCTAGCCTCACTGCTCAGGAGAGGCCACAGCACGCTCCCTGGGGCTCCCGGCAGGACTAGGACCTCTGGTCACCACAGGACACGCGCAAAGCTCTGGCTGATGTGCCGAAAGCCACCCCAGCATGTGCCTCAGACGCTCGCCTGCTGTGGAGGAGGCCGTGCCATGGGACGCGATTTCAGCACATGGAGAAACACACAGGTGCTGCGGGGATTCGTGACTGTGGCTGGCAGCAAGGACAAGCATGGAGCACGGGGCACTCTGGCAGACGCTGCAGGGACCACTAGCCCCTCCAAGGCTGTGAACACTTCTAAGTGCCCCCCATTGAGCCCCCAGCAACTCCCATTTTACAGACGAGAAAACCAGGCATGTGTGAGTCAAGTAACTTTGCAGGCCCTGGCGTCTCTGCCAGACCAAGCTGGGAGGTACAGAATCAACCTCCCTGCACTCCACTCAGCGCCTGACTCTGCCGGGCCAGGCACGGAGGCTGCTGTGGTGAACAGAGCTGGTGAAGCCCCTGCCTCGCGAAGCCGCCTTTCTTGGGGGAGCAAGAGAGAAACATGATGAGGAAGCAGAGTGCCTGCGGCGGTGGGAATGCTGCAGAGAAGACGGGCGTGTGGATGGGGGGCTGCACCCTTGATCAGGGGTCCCCCAGCGGAGGGGACGTCTGCACAAAGCTGCCAGGAGACAGGCGTGTGGATTGGGGGGGCTACACCCTTGATCTGGGGTCCCCTGGGGGAACTTCTGCACAAAGCTGCCAGGAGACGTGTGGGTGTCAGTGAGGAGACCTCAGGCTCACTGGAGGGAACGAGGTGGACCAGGCAGGAGAGCATAGAGGGCAGGCCAGACGCAGCTTGAAGGGACTTCTCAGCAACAGGGGACGGGACTCAGGTCTCTGAACTTTCCTGTGCACCCCCCCCGCTTGTTTTTCCAACCCAATTCATCAGCCTATGTGTAGAAGACACATGCCCCCAGCTACTCAAGGACGACTCAGAACAGGCACGGCCCCAACCACGAGCCTTCCCCAGGGTCCTGCGCGCTCCACCAGGGTCTCTGGGGGCCGAGAGCAGTCTTTTATCTTCATGTCCCCAAAGGGGAGGACTACCCAGCCTCCATCTGGCCACCAGCAAGCAGATAAACCCGGGGTGGCAGGAAAGGAATTTTCCTTCCGGTGTCTCTAGAAACCATGTGCTGGTGTGACCTGGAGAGCCCAGCGAGACCCGTCAGACCCAACCGTGGGGAGCTCAGCGAGACCCCGTCAGACCCGACCCTGGGGAGCCCAGCAAGACCCCGTCAGACCCGACCCTGGGGAGCCCAGCGAGACCCCTCAGACCCGACCCCGGGGAGCCCAGGGAGACCCCGTCAGACCCGACCCCGCGGAGCCCAGCGAGACCCCGTCAGACCCGACCCCGCGGAGCCCAGCGAGACCCCGTCAGACCCGACGCCGCGGAGCCCAGCGAGACCCCGTCAGACCCGACTGTGGGGAGCCCAGTGAGACGCTGTCAGACCGACCTGGCCCTACACGGACCACCCAGGCTGGCCTCTGGCCCTTGAGCTTTGGACTGTTGCTTATTTAAGGAAAAGAAAACTGTTGAAAAGACTGCTGGATCCATGGAGCTCAGACTCCCTTGCATATGGAACAAAGTATGACCCTTAAAACCAGGCAGCTGGCCCCCAGAACTGTGCTGAACGGCAGAGGGGCACCTCACCTGCGTGTTTCTGAGCTCAGGAAGTGCACCAAGTGGCTGGCCCAGAGCACAGGCCCTGCATACGTCCCAAACGCTGTCAGGAGCACGGCTGGGATTTCCACGTAAGTGTCTAAACCCACGAAGCCTGCAGAGATGTCCACGGTGGCAATGTTGTTGGAGTTGCCCTGGAATACAGGAGAAGAGCTAAGGCCTCACAACAGGTGGCATCAACAACCATGATGTTAGCGTGAAACGTGTACGCAGCCCAGATAACCATGCCAGCACAGACACACGTGGTCAGAGGTGGCTGCCCAGGCATTCCTTCAGACCGCCGAGCTGGCCTTGCCGGGTTGGCACCCCCTCCCCCGCTTGCAGTGCCCAGGCTATGGAGGGGCATGTGAGCTGTCCGTGCAGAAGCTGCGGCCCCCTCTGAGGAAGGACACACACAGACTGGCTGGCTGACTGTGGCACATCTCAGACCCTTGTCCAGACCCATTGACTTTTCTTAAGCACATGGACCTCCCCTCAAGGACCCCCATCTGAGGGGGTGCATATGGCCCTGAGAGGCACAGATGCTGGGCCCAGCCAAGAGGGAAGTTGGGCTGAAAACTAGAACGGGCACCCAGCCAGGTCCCATCTACGGTGAGGCGCTGCGAGTGGGTTACATGGAGGAGGGCAGGCCAGTCGCCAGGGGAGCACAGCCCCTGGTACAAATTGGTAACTCACATCTGGCTTATGTATCAGACCACGAGGACTCACTTGGTCTCGTCAAACTTCATCTGTCAAGATTCTGGCCAGTCCTGGCCCAGCCCTGGTAGGTAACTCTCTGCAGGATGCAAGGGCTAATGCCACACAGTTTACCCTGCTCCAAGTGATTCTGGATCCCAAAAAAAGGTCTTCTGAGAGACCCTGCCTCTCTGGTCCCAGGCCCCGCCTCTCCACTCCTAGGCCCTACCTCTCCACTCCAAGAACCCACCTCCACTCCTAGGCTCCACCTCTCCACTCCTAGGCCCTGCCTCTCCACTCCCAGGTCGTGCCTCTCCATTCCTAGGCCCCTCCTCTCTGCTCTCAGGCCCTGCCTCTCCACTCTAAGACCACACCCTTCCACTCCCAGGCCCCACCTCTCCATTCCTAGGCCCCGCCTCTCCATTCCAAGACCACAACCTTCCACTCCCAGGCCCCACCTCTCCATTCCTAGGCCCCACCTCTCCACTCCAAGACCACACTCTTCCACTCCCAGGCCCCACCTCTCCATTCCTAGGCCCCTCCTCTCCACTCCTAGGCCCTGCCTCTCCAGTCCTAGGCCCCGCCTCTCCACCCTAAGACCACACCCTTCCACTCCTAGGCCCCTCCCCTCCACTCCCAGGCCCTGCCTCTCCACTCCAAGACCACACCCTTCCACTCCTAGGCCCCACCTCTCCACTCCTAGGCCCTGCTTCTCCATTCCTAGGCCCCTCCTCTCCACTCCCAGGCCCTGCCTCTCCACTCTAAGACCACACCCTTCCACTCCTAGGCCCCAACTCTCCACTCCCAGGCCTTGCCTCTCCAAGACCACACCCTTCCACTCCTAGGCCCCACCTCTTCATTCCTAGGCCCCTCCTCTCCCAGGCCCTGCCTCACCACTCTAAGACCACACCCTTCCACTCCTAGGCCCCACCTCTGCACTCCCAGGCCCCGCCTCTCCACTCACTCCTAGGCCCCACCTCTCCATTCCTAGGCCCTGCTTCTCTGCTCCCAGGCCCCTCCTCTCCACTCCAAGAGTACACTCTTCCACTACTAGGCCCCTCCTCTCTGCTCCCAGGCCCTGCCTCTCCAGGTTCCATCTTTACTGACTCTGATGTCTGTCACTTGCCTGTCATGCTGACCTTTCCTCAGAAACTCAGGACATCTACAGTCTGACAGCACGTGTCTCTATCAAGCCCAATGAAGACCCCAAGCCCAACAAAGATCCCTCTCCAGAACCAGAACTGTTCATGTCCACAAAACACTGGCTGGGTGTTCACCAGTTTGACTCCTTCCTCCCTTTCCATGCAGACAACTGTGGGCCCGGGGGGTCCCCACCTCATGTTGATGCTGCTTCCTCAGTATCTCACACATGTGCGTTGACTCCTATCCCCGCTGTCATAGGCCCCAGCCCTTCGATTTGGCTTCCCCTGAGACCCACTGGACTCGCAGCTACCGCCTCTCCTGGACGGCACCTCCCCAGTCATGTGACTCCTCTGCTTGGAAGCCCTTCTGCAGGGAGACTGAGGAGACAGCAAACAGGCAGAAGCAGCAGGAGACCCTGGAGGGTGGTGGGGGGACAGAGTCCCAGATGCCACAATGGGAGCAGGGGAGGACACCTGGGAGGCCACTGTGGCTCTGAGCAGGCTCAGCCAGGCACAGAGACTGCCAGCCATGCTGACATGTCCGTAGCTGCACAGCAGCTTTACCAGCATGACTTCATTTAAGCCAACAGTCCTGACGTGCTTCGTAATTATCCTCATCAAACAGGGATGAAACGGAGGCAGAGAGACCCGGGGACTGGGTGAACGTGGAGGGCCAGCAGATGAGCAAGGGCAGTCACATTCCTGATCCCTGGTCTGTTAAGGAACTGCCCAGTTGAGGGCAGGAAGCAGGGATGGGCAGCAAAGCGACAGATTCCTCCCGGAGGAGATCTAACATTAAGGGGCAGCAGACTCAGCCTCAAAACAGGAGCCATGGGGAGGCGGGGAGACTAGGGAGGGCTGGCTCCTGGGGAGGCCGTGAGACCACTATCCCCAGTTTACAGATAAGGAAATGAAGGTGTGACAAGAGCCTGCCAGAGGCCACCTGGCTTGAACGTGCTGGACACCAGCATCCAGGTCTGCAGTTCTGCTGGGGACACCCTTGTGCCTTGTGTGGACACGGCAGGGAAACCTGCAGGGGCCTGAGTGGGTCAGAAGGGTCGGGGAAGCACTAGGACGGGGCTAAGAAGCTGGCCACTGGCCACCTACTCATTGTACCTGAAGACACAGACTTCTGTAACGTCACGCCTACCCCTCCTTTGGGTTTCAGGATCAGAGGGACAGACATACAGAAAATCCTGCAACCGTGGGCTGTTCCATGGGAAAGGAGGAGAGGATGGAGGAGAGGCCCTGTCGGGACACAAAGAACTGCACAGCCTCCTGGGATGAGACAGTGGAGAGGCAGACAGCGGTGCACACCAAGAAAATACAGACCTCACGGTAAAGACAAAAATGGAACCACGATGCTCAGCTGGTGCAAAGTGACTCAGCCTGGGAGTCGGGGCTGGAAGGGAACCAGCAGGCCTGTGCTCACTCTCCTGAGGTTGCCGGGAGGCTGGATGAGGCTGGATCCCTCTGAGGCCCCGTCTACCTGTCCATCTATGTCTCTTCATAACTGAGGTGGTTTGGGCTTGTCTGAGATGGGTCTTTAACACTGGACAGAAGCCCTTGCGACCCACCAGGCCTCAGGGAGCTAACAATCAGGGGGGAACAAACGGTACCCCCAATGTGGACAGCCCAGACACCAGGGGCAAAGGGCATGAACGAGAACAATTATTACATCCATCAATGAAGCAAGTGAACAACGGGATGTCCGTGCTTCCTGAACTACTTGTAATAAATAAACCCAGGCCTGGCCCAGCAGAGCAGCAATCCGCTGTCTGAAGCACCCACACATCCACACCTGGGACATCTGTCTTAAACGACCAGCTGTACTTTATCTTACAAAATACACCCGAGAGTTCAGCATCATTCACCATGCCATACTGACAGTTCTTTCGCTAAACAAACATTGTAACTTTCCAACGTCTGGTAAAATTTTCTCAAAGAAAAATCTAAAATAAATATGTAAAAAGTGAAGTCTTCCACCCGTGATAATAATGAAAACCTACCTGAAAATAGAAGAAGGCTTGCCCAAACCAATAATGCATCACAGTAATCTCAGCTGCATCGTGCCTCAGGGGCTTCCAGATGAACTTAGTCATGAGAGTCTGAATCAAGAGACTAAATGCTAAGACCGGAAGATTATGTGGTCTAAAGAGCAAGGCTGCCAGAAGAACTAATCCACTATGTATCTCCCATAAACCTACAGTCTTGAGTTGGAAGTCTGCAGCAATGACTTGAGATTTAAGTAAGTCTTTGGTGCCCGTGAACAGAATGCCAAGGACAAAGACATAAACAAAACGAGCTTCAATAATACCCCTAAAAAAAAAGCAAAACAAGTTAGATTCATTAGCACCAGTGAGAAAAATTCAAAAACATTTTCCCATGAAAAACACACCTATCTGCCTAGGGAACCAGTAAATGTCTCAGCACTGCTGGCTAAAGGAGCCGCGGCACCCTCCCTACCCCCCAGGTCCCGCCACGGCAGTGGGCATGTCTCCTCCGCACGGCAGCCCTGAGGAGCCGCTGCCAAAGACCCACAGGGGTGTCCTCGTGCAGACTCCTGCTGGGGTTGGCTTCAGGCAGATCTTGCTCATTTGGCCCAAGGATCACCTGGTGGCACCACCCAAGGTGCCCTCGTGGCCCGCCTGCTTTGCACAATTAAAAAAACCCAGTGCACTGGTATAAGATTCACCTCTAAGAAACTGCTGTAAGTTCATAAATGTTAACTGTACAACTGGGCAGATTTAAAGAAGCATTTGCACATTTACAGGTACACACACATGCAGTTATGGGGACACAGGCACCTGCACATTTACAGGTACACACACATGCAGTTATGGGGACACAGGCACCTGCACATTTACAGGCATGCATGCAATGGTGCAGTCATCCAACCCAGGGCTCTGGACAAAGGCAGAGCTCTGCTCAGCCCAGGCCCTGCTGCTCACTAGCTCTCCGACTCGGGGCGTGTCAATCAAGACTTCTGACCCTCAGCTTTGCTATTTGTAAAATGGAGAGAAAATGGTTCTACACTTCACAAAGTCATCCTCGGAATTAAGCAAGGCAATGCAGAGAGTGTTTGGCACACAGTAAGCTCAGTAAATACTAAGTACTCTTATGATAGTTATCTGTAAAGGATACAATTACCAAAAAATTTCATCTTACAAAAAACACGTATGTTCCTAAAACATAATATTTTAAATAAATTTTGTAAATGAAATACTTCATATATCCTGCAAAAGCTGATCATTTAAAATAATCATAATTTTTTATATCACCGTAATATTGTGAAAACTGAATTTTCCTATATTAGATTTTCTTAGAAAGTTTTGTACATTAAGAAATTAAACTTTGATCAGTTTAGTTCAAACAGCCTGAGCACTGTATACCATGTGCCTGGCAGTGTGGCTGTCACGAGGGGCCCACATCCTGGCTGAGGAGCTGGGGTCAGACACCTGGCAACCCCCACAGGTCAAGGTGTGTGCCAAGCTGAGAGTGAATTATAGGCCCATCTGCATGCAAAGAAGGGAGAAATCAGCAAAGGTCACAATCACTGGAGAAGTTTCATAGAAGGGACTGGTTTCTGTGTCAAGAAAGGACGCCAGGGCAGGAGGGTGGTGAGCAGGAGGGTGGTGAGCAGATGCGGGCATCATCTGGGGCCTTTGGTGGGTCCTCCTCCTCCCCTGGCCGGGCAGCACCTGATCCTGCTCATCCAGGCCCACCCCACTTCCACCTCCACTCCAGCCATCCCTGGGCTTCTGAGTGGAGGAGAGTCAGGAACTGAGTGCAAAGGATTTCAGACTATCAGTGGATGGCAACGCCTGAGGGACTGACAGGAGAGAGGCAGCTGTTACAATGATCTAGAGCCAGGATGCATCTTCGGCCAGGACCTATTTACAATCGGGACAGATGGGGACAAAGGACGGAAGCACTTTACAGGAAGAAGGTGAACCAGGCAGTGCGTGTGGAAAGAAAAGGCACACTGGCTAGTTCTGGACACTAGCAAATTACATGCTGCAGGAAGCAGGCCAGGGAAGGGAAGAGGGCCAAGGTCTTCAGATGAGTGATGCTGAAATTCAGTGCACAGATCTGCGAGGAAGCGAATTTATTCACGCACTGCATCCTAAACACACACCCCCAAATGTAACATCCATTTGGATGAGCCCAAAGTCTCAGATTCCAAAGTCAACAGTCTTTGAGGCCTCTCCACAGAACACTGCTGGTACCTGCCCGTCAGCATCCTCTCCACGCTGAGGGTCTGCTACACTGCCACTGCCTCAGCCAGGCCTCGGCTCACCCTAACCCCCACCCCTTACTCCCCACTCAGCCAGGAGGTATTTCCAGGAGTGCCCCGGAGCCCCACGGCCACTCCTCAGACTGGCCACAGCCCTTAGCAGTCACCTTGACTTTTGCTCTGATTAGAAAAGCAACACTTGTGAACTCTAGACATTGCTAAGATACAAAAATAAGTAAAAAGCAAGACCACAATCTGTGATTTCGGGTCCTAAATATAATCATCAGTATTTTAAGTATGTAGTCTTTCATATTAAGTATGAAAAAAAAAACCAGGTACACACTTAGTAAGCTGGGGTCATACCACCCTTTTACAGCCCACTGTTCCACAACATGCTTCTCTGTTCTGTGCAAACAGGTGCCTAACAACCAGAAGACTCCTTTACAGAGCACTGACCTCACTGAGAGGATCACTGTATTGTTGCTGGATAATTACCCTGGTTGTTCCCTTTTGCAAGTGTGAAGGACACTTCAGTGGGCATGCCTCTGTCCCATCCCAGGCTCCTGCCTCTGCTTATATTCTTGAGGTAAATTGAAATAGAGTCAGCTATATAAATTTTTTTTTTTTTTTTTTTTTTGAGACGGAGTCTCGCTCTGTCGCCCAGGCTGGAGTGCAGTGGCCGGATCTCAGCTCACTGCAAGCTCCGCCTCCCAGGTTCATGCCATTCTCCTGCCTCAGCCTCCCGAGTAGCTGGGACTACAGGCGCCCGCCACCTCGCCCGGCTAGTTTTTTTGTAGTTTTAGTAGAGACGGGGTTTCACCGTGTTAGCCAGGATGGTCTCGATCTTCTGACCTCGTGATCCGCCCGTCTCGGCCTCCCAAAGTGCTGGGATTACAGGCTATATAAATTTAAATAGAGGGTCACCCACACGTTACAAGCTGCCCTCCAGAACGGCCTCTGCTCATCCCACTCCTGAGGATGAGAAGGAGCCTGCTTCACCACCACAACACCGTTAAAATCAGAAACACGGCTGCCTTGACACGAAGAAAATGGTCCTCCTGACTGAGCCCTCCCACTGATTGGCAGGAGCTCCTGGCCCCTCACGGGGGCTCGTTATAAATTATGAGGACAGTGTGATTTTCCAGCAAGCTTCATCTCCCAACTGCTGGAAAACATCCACTCGTCATCCTCGTCGCCAGTTACACCCTGACCAGGAAAACAGAACCCTGGTCATCACGTGCTGCCACTCACTTAGAAACCGATTCATACTCATCTGTCTGTCCCATCACACACCCTGAAGGTTTTATTTTAAATTTAAAAAAATCTTACTTCCAAGTGATTTCTCTTCTAAAAGTAACACATAAAACATAAAAAGTGCTAACAACGGGGCTGGTTGGGGTTTTCTTAGTTACACTCCAGCAGCTGTTGACACAATCACAACTCACAAACGCCAAACTCCAGTGCTGTGAAGACTGGCAGGGTCTTCTCAGTCCATCAAAGAGTAAAGTGGTTCTACACGCCCCGTGTCTGCCACGCACTTACTTGGAAATGTCCTTGCTGTCCGGCCGCCACGGGAACCGGACACTCCCGATGGCTGCCCGGTAGCAGTAGACGCCCAGCAGCCCCAGCGCCAGGGCAGCCTTGGACACAGAGGAGCACCCCCTCTGCACCAGCACAAAAACTACGAGGAGGGAGATGGCAGCCAGGACAGAGAGCTCGGCTTTGTGATCAGAGCTGAAATGAGATGGAGAATGCCAGCATTACAGCAAACAAACAGCGATGAGATCAATCTACACCGAGTGGCTTTCAAAGAACTGTATTAAAAAATAGCTGATTTTCCCAAAAACCAAAGATGACATGAAATTGCTGGGTTTTATTTTCAAACGAAAGTTCTTAAAGTGTAACAAATAAAAGACGGTCAACCTCAGTGGGGTGTGGTGGCTCACGCCTGCAATCCAGCACTTTAGGATGCCGAGGCGGAAGGATCTTGAGGCCAGGAGTTTGAGACCAGCCTGGGCCACACGGTGAGACCTCATTTTATTAAAAAAAAAAAAAAAAAAAAGACAGTCAACTTGAACTCTCACTTCTCATTCACAAATAGGTCTCCCATCATCAGATCTGGATGCCCAGAGGCCAGGCGGTGACAAATATATAAAGAGTCCTCTTGTCCCCTGGTACCCTCTCGGGGGCAGGCCTGCATCTACCAGCTCACCTCCTCCTCCCGCCTTCTCCCATTAACTCAGTAACGCACGAGACGTCCCTAGACCCACATGGCCTCTCACAGGGTCTGCCTTCACCTGCTCCTGGGTGAGGAGATGGTGCAGAGATTGACAGCTTGTCAGAGAGCAGAGCCCGAAGTCCTGACCGCACTGCAGTGGTGCAGCACCAGCCAGCCCTGGCCTGAGTGTGAGGCGGCGACGGCCGGGCTCCCTTCTGTTTCTTTCACGGCAGCTCTCACTTCAAAGCCTCCCAGGATGGGAGGGGGAGACTGGGGCCACATGGGGGCCTGGGCCTCGCCCCAGGAAGGGGTACCTGGGTTTTTTTGTATTGTTGCTTTTAAAATGGCATGTGTTTTTACACAATCTTCAGGACTGTTATAATAATAAAGTAGAACAATTATAACAATGTAATTGTTACTGTCAGAAATTATATGAATGTGCGCTGTCTCAAAATACTGTAATATTTTCAGACTACAGTTGACCTCGGGTAAGCAAAACTGCGGATAATGCGGTGGGGGATGGCTCTTGCATGGGGGGTGGAAAGCCAGCCAGTTCTCTCCTAATGCTTTAATTTTCCAGGAAAGTCAGGAACAAGGTGTCACAGTGCTATTCCGGGACACGGAGCTCCGTGACACACCCTGCTCTACATGCCTGGGATCCGACCCCGAAGCTGGCGTGCCCAGCACAACCTCCCGTCAGCCCGTTCCCCCTCCGCTTCCTCACCTCTGGAGCGGGGACCAACCAAAGTCCTCTCTCCGGGGTTGCACTGGAAAGGAAACGTGTGGGCGCACGGCAGGCAGATTACCTGAAGGACCCGATCTGTGATGACTTTGGTTACCAAGGTTTTAGTAATTTAGTTAATGCTTAGCCTCCCACAAGAATTACTTAATCAGAAGAATCTGTAATTTCGTAGTTTCTGATGTAAATTTACAAGTACCTTCCAAAAGAACCGTGACACTAATGTGGCCCCAGGAATCCTCACATGCTCACCAAGACTGAGTCTCGTCATTCAGTTCTGTTTCTCTGCCTCAGCAGGTATGAAGTCACACCTGTCATTTAACCGGAAGCACCTTCATTACTAGGACTGGGCATTTCTCTTTTCCTTCTGCTGGCATTTCTTATAGGAGTTCTCTGCAGTGATGAGACCACAGCCCATGCCTGTGACTCTCATCGCAGATACTGTTTCATTTTGCTGTTCTTCTTTTACTGTAGTTTCCTAAGTCTTCACTGCCAGATAATTCAAATTTAAAGTCTAGACAAATCTTCATTATTTTTCTGTCCTAGTTTCTTATACTTATTTTGAGCCTTGCTTGAAATGATTTGCTACACTTTCTAGGCGGTTTTCCAGTTGCCAATCAAAGGTGGCTGAATTCCTCCACATGGCTCTTACCCTTCAGGGTGAGGAGACAGAAAAGGGAGGATGGAGAGGAGAAAGGAGGGGAGCTAAGGACAAAGCTGACCCACAGACGCTGCACCCACCTTGCCTGGCTGACCCCATCCTTCCTGCTGCCCTCGGGATCATCAGCAGTGGGATATGGGTCTGGGGGAATGACATGGCTTAGATGTTTGTCCACTGCAAATCTCACATTGAACTTGGACGTTCAGGCTGGGCACAGTGGCTCACACCTGTAATCCCAGCACTTTGGAAGGCCGAGGTGGGTGGATCACTTGAGTTCAGGAGTTCGAGACCAGCCCAGTCAACATGGTAACACCCCGTCTCCACTAAAAAGACAAAAATTAGCCAGGCATGGTGGCAGCACCTGTAATCCCAGCTACTCAGGGGCCGAGACAGGAGAATCTCTTGAACCGGGGGACAGAGGTTGCAGTGAGCTGAGCTCGTGTCACTGCACTCCAGCATGGGTGAGACTGAAACTCCATTTCAAAAAAAAAAGACACTGGACCTCCAGGGTTGGAAGTGAGCCTGGTGGGAGATGTCTGGGTCAAGGGGGCAGATCCCTCATGAATGGCTTGGTGCCATCTTCACAGTAATGAGCGCATTCTCGCTCTGGCTGTTCACAAGAGAGCTGGTGTTTAAAAGCACCAGACACCTCCCCCATCCCTCTCTTGCTCCTGCTCTCGCCACATGAAGTGCTGTCTCCTGCTTTGCCCTCCGCCATAACTGCCAGTTTCCTGAGGTCTCTCCAGGAGCAGAAGCCAACACCATGCCTCCTGTGCAGCCTGCAGAGCTGAGAGCCAAGATGAACCTCTTTCCTGACACATGACCTGGCCTCAGGTATTTCTTTACAGCAACGCAGGAATGGCTTGACACAGGGAGACGCTGAGTGATGGGCGGGGGGCACACAGCCTGGGCATGGACGGGGCGTCCAGAACAAGCCATTAGCAAGCCTGACCCCCAAATGACATCTTTACTATATCATGATCATTGAAACACAAGTTTTCAATCACGAACAGTTACAGTGGTTCAGCACTAATAAATCAAACCTATTAGGCTAGCTCCCAAATAAATTCACCTCTCAACACTGATTCTAGTATCTAGTAAAACACTGGTTTTAGTATATTTTCCCAGTTCTTCAGATCTCAAAATACTATCCCATTCTTAATATGAAAAATGATCTCAATTTAGAAAAAGAAGAGCTTGGCGGGTGACCAACTGGCTGTAGAAAGTCTGGCCTGTGACCACAGACCCATGCTCTCACCTGGTGAGCCAGTGGCCGAGGTCAGGCCGGTGAGCCCACTGCACACCTGTCTGGTTTAGCGAGCGCAGCAGCCGGCAGCAGGCCAGTATCAGCCATGGACTGGCCAGCACCATCCACTTCTCGTGGCCTCTGAGCACTTGGGAGGCAGAGGGGCTTCTGTGGCCTTTGTCTCGCTCCAGCGCATCACAGGCAGGCCCGTCCTGCCACGCTGCTGTGGCCCCATCAAGCCCTTGTTCCACACGGAGGCCACATGGAGGCTCACTGTCGTCTCCCAGAAAGTAGTTTCTGTAGGTTTCTTGGCTCAGAGCTAGACACAAGGTGTTCACAAGGAAGTACCAGGTCTGGTGTTCCTCCTCCACGAAGCTGCTGGCACCCAGGCTCAAGACGTGGCCCGCCGTCCCTAGCAGAATAAGAAGGTCTAGCTCTGACCACCTTGAGCTGGGAGGCACAGGGTTCTGTAAAAAGCAAAGCGCATTTTGTAAGAGACGGTCTGACAATTACGCACATCTTGCGGCATGTCAAGTCCTTGTTCACAGCAGAGAATGCCCTGGACACACACCGTTGTTCCTCGCACCCAGCACCTGGGCCCCTACTCTGGAACAGCCCCCTTCTGCTCCAATGGCAGGAACCCTCCTCTTGGGATGCAGCCTGCAGAAGTGGAGATGCCCTCAGCCCAGGCAGGGGAGCCGGGACACAGCACGGCCAGCCAGCTGTTCTCCCACTGGACTGCAAGTCCCAAGCTGAGTGACAAAGACTGAAAATGGTCAGAACCCTCTGGGCAGTGATGGAGCCCAAAGAGCTTGCCCAGAGGCTCCTGGCCCTGGCCCTCCATGCTCCCAGGTCCAGGCTCTTGAAGAGCTCTGGTCTTCAGATGGGCATCGCCAGTTCCTGCTTCTTGAAACCAAAGAACCCCAACAATACATCCCACCAAACCAGACCTCGAATTTCTCATGAATATTCCAGAAATCCAGAAAGTTTCCACTAAAATGGTTAATTCTGTTGAAATGACAAAGTTGACATCACAGTACTGTCCCTTAAATATATGAACTTAAAGCAGTCAAAATCAAAGATGAGGACTCAATTATTGCCACTTATTCTTTTGATAACTATATATTGCGTGCGACTAGGTACTAATTCAATAGAGGGAGAGAGAGCATGAGCCCAGGTGGGCCCGAGGTGCGAGCGTGGATGCAGATCATCCTGGCTCCGAGGAAGCCTGTGGCCTGATCACAACGCTGTGTCTCGGTCAGACACTCAGCACAGGGCCTCTGACAGCTCAAGCCAAGAGGGGATGAGGGCTGCGCAGGGCTTGGGTGGGGGCCAACAGTCCTGCTGCCACTGCACTAAATCACTTCATCCTGGACTCTGGATCTGAGTGCGACCATCCGCCTCTTTCTCACTGCCTCGCCACCACTCCCCAGCTAACAAATGAAGGTGTACGAGGCCAAAGACTAAGAATTCCAACAGAAAACGTCCGCCTTAGAAAGAAATCTGGACCTGATGAGGCAGGATGCATTCTGGAGGAAGCAGGATGAGTGGGGCGACCAAGTCTTCTTTTGACCCTCCTGAGTGTCCAGGACAACAGTCTCTTCTTCCCTCAGCTGCAGCTCCCACACCTCTGCTGGGAGGCTGTCTGATTCACACACCCCCTCAGTGGGGGCTTCATTCCTGTGACCACCAGCTCTTTACAATCACCTTTGTGACAGTCGCAGGAACCTAGCCTTCCAAGAACTAAGGGATGTGACCTGACAGCACAGATGTGAACACCTGTGTCAGGGCAGCCTGAGGCCTGGGATAAGGCTGCTCCAAGTCCTTCCCTGAGGCCCCCTGTCCAGGGCACTGCCAGCACTTGGCACACACCAGGTGTTCAACGAAAGTCTGGTAAATGAAAGGCAGCCTGAAATAACAAGAACAGCCTGAGCAGAAGGACCACATCACATTCCTAGGAACCAGCCGTACGTACCTTCCTGGAGGTGTTTCCACCCACGAGCATGTTGGTTAGAACAGACACGATCACACACAGCAGCGCCGAGGCCAGCACCATCACCCCACCTGCTGCCAGCCACGAGAGGCCACAGAAGTAGCACGAACTTTCAGCTGAGGTGCACACAATGACGTGAACGGCCGAAAGAACCAAGATCACCAAATAAAAGAGCAGAGAAAACCCAGGAGATGCCAGTGGGACTTCCAGCTCAGCCTTTCTGTGCAGTGCCTGTGGGACGCTGAGCAGGAGCAGGGTGAGAACCTGGAACAGAGACACAGCAGCGTTCACAGACTGCTGGGCTTGGAGAAACCCACTTAAAAACAAGCCCAGCTCCCGCTCTCGTGTCAGCTGTCCACACAGTAAAAACAGAAAAGCAAGCTCAGGAAAAGATGATTCCTAATTAACTGCCCCAAAATGCATGGCGTGATTTTTTTTCACCTGTAGCAATACTGAGTGAGGCCAATTGACACCTGACAATACTCTGGGGCTTGTCACAAATCAGGACACACCACGAAAGAGTTAAACAAGAAAATTAATATTTTCCCATTTTTAATCACATCAAGATATATACTTAAAACTATAAATATTTGGCTGAGTTATCAAATCAATGCAACACCTGAGCCACGACTGTGTGAGCATCTGTACCTCCAAAACCACGACAGTCCCCACCATCATCGAATACATGTCGTACTGGGCCACTTGTGTGCTCAGGGACAAGCTCAGCGTCTTCAGAGCAGCCAGGTACTGCCTGAGAACCTTGGAGCCCAGGTTGAACAGGACTTCTGAATGCTTTTCCTCCAAGTACAGTCTGATCCAGTTCCCATGCAATCTTTCTGACATTTTAAACTGCTCAAACCCAGGATCTATTAAGAAGACAGAAAAGTTACATGCGCGCACACACACCGTGAACATACATATATACACATAATCTCAAAGTATTTAGTTATGCGTGGCACATGGCAAAGCCTTCTTTCTCTTTTTAGAACTGACACTTAACGAAGATGAACCATTCCTTTGGGTGAGGGTCTGCAACGCCTTCTGGAAAGCCTGGAAAGCCGCCGATGTGCATCCGTCCGCCCTCCGGCGATATGGGCCTTGGTCCTTGGACGGCACCCTGTAGACAGCAGTGACTGCCCCCTGTGCTGCCTGACCTCTTTCTCTGCCTCCCTCATCACTCTCACTTCCTCCTCCCTGTTCTGTCTCTTTCTATTCTCTCCTTCTTGTCAACGTGCAATATACAAACAATCCTGAAATGCGTTCAACAGTCAGGTTTTACAGTCTTTCTAACCCTTACAGCACTGTATGCGGACTGGGCAGGCAGCGGCTTGACCCTTCTCCACCACACCCACTTCCCCTGTGCAGACTGGCCCTTCCGAGCTCTAACATCCCCCATTCTGTAGCCTGGGTGACTTCCTCACATCCTTTTTGGAAAGGGAGAGCAGTTTCCAGCCCTCTCTGCTCACGAGGGTGAGCTCTGCTGGGAGCATGGATGCCCTGCCTCTGGATGGAGCCCTGCCTCTCTGCTATGGCACCCTCTTTTAGACCATAGTGCCATGCTGCTCATGGCACAGCTGATGTCCTTTCTTTCCAGAGCTGGCTGATGCATGAGCCTCTGCCTAGACCACACTCACTTGTGATTAGATTTTTTTTTTTTTTTTTTTGAGACGGAGTCTCGCTCTGTCGCCCAGGCTGGAGTGCAGTGGCGCGATCTCAGCTCACTGCAAGCTCTGCCTCCCAGGTTGATGTCATTCTCCTGCCTCAGCCTCCCGAGTAGCTGGAACTACAGGTGCCTGCCACCACGCCCAGCTAAGACTTTGTATTTTTTAGTAGAGACGGGGTTTCACTGTGTTAGCCAGGATGGTCTCGATCTCCTGACCTCGTGATCTGCCCGCCTCGGCCTCCCAAAGTGTTGGGATTACAGGCGTGAGCCACTGCGCCCGGCCTAGACTGGTCTTTAAAGCAAGAACTTCCTTCCCGAGACCCTCTCGGTTTTTGACATGCATTTCCTACTCCAGAAGAGCCACGCCAAGGAGGGTCTCAGCTATGCCTCTTGGCAGGCTCGCCACTCTGTGGCTCTGCATGCCCCAGGCCTGCTGTCATCACAGCAGTGAAAGAGCTGCCACAGGCGCTCGAGCCACTGAGGTCCAGGGTACTGTGGCACGAGTCCCTGAGTGTGAACCCACACGCCTGCTGCCGGCACCAAGTCCCTGAGCGTAAACCCACACACCTGCAGGCCCACCCCACGGCTGCTGGCACCAAATCCCCGAGCGTGAACCCACACACCTGCTGCTGGCACCAAATCCCTGAGCGTGAACCCACACACCTGCAGGCCCAACCCCACTGCTGCCGGCACCAAGTCTCTGAGCGCGAACCCACACACCTGCTGCCGGCACCAAATCCCTGAGCGTAAACCCACACGCCTGCAGGCCCACCCCACAGCTGCTGGCACCAGGTGCTCTGCACTAAGTGTCAGTGGCCAGCAACAGCTTGCTCATTTCACCTCCCTAATAACCCTATGAGGCAGGGATGAGCATCAGAACTTCTCCAGAGGAGGCAACTGAGACACAGGGGGTGAGTCACACACCCAGGCCACAGCGCCAGTGGGTAAAAGCTGCAAACGAAACTCAGGCAGTCTGGTTCCAGGGCTGGCATTCTTCATTGCTACACCTACTACCCTGGAGTGGGGGACGCCTGTGTCCACACCCCACCACCCCAGAGTCAGAGACATGGGTATCTGTGTCTATACCCCACGAGCTATGGGGGTGCATCTGTGCATGCATCGAAACAAATATCCATGGAGCGTGGACAACATGCCAGGCGCTGTGCCAGGCACTGTGCCAGGGGAAAGACACAGCATGGCGAGCAAGCAGGTGCAATCCTTGCCTGCTGGGGCCTGGATCCAGTAGGGCTCACAGGCGCGCGTACCAATGAGGGATTTTTGGTAATGGGGAGGAACTGATTCTGGACTGGGAGTGGGAGCTGGACCAGGAAGGTCTGATGTTTATGCTGAAATGTAAACGGTGCCCAGGAATTCGCCAGGCAAAAAACTGGAGGAAGAGCATCAAGTTGATGGGAACAGCATGTGTGAAAGTCCAGAGGCGAGAAAAAGCTGGTCCCACTACACTGAGAGAGCCGGGCACCTCCAACAGACTGGACACCACCCAAGGACTGTACAGGCCTGGCTGTGGGTTCTAAAACATATTTCAGTGTCAGAACACATACCCTATTTTGTTTTAGGAAATGTGATACCCCATGGTGTAGACAATGCGCCGCCAAGTGAGGGTGTCCCAGACGCTGTGGGCTGTGTTTTCAGTCAAGGGAGGCTCCTGCATTCATTTAACAGGCTGGTTTCCTTCCATATCCACTGTGGTTCCCAAATTCCCCCAGCCACTGCTTCTGGAACAGGCAAATAACCCTTCCATTGTTTTTTTGATTTTGTTGGTATTTTTTTGTTTTGTTTTGGAGACGGAGTCTCACTCTGTCACCCAGGCTGGAGTGCAGTGGCACGATCTCGGCTCACTGCAAGCTCCGCCTCCCAGGTTCACGCCATTCTCCTGCCTCAGGCTCCAGAGTAGCTGGGACTACAGACATCCACCACCACTCCCGGCTAGTTTTTTGTATTTTTAGTAGAGACGGGGTTTCACTGGGTTAGCCAGGATGGTCTCGATCTCCTGACCTCGTGATCCGCCCGCCTCGGCCTCCCAAAGTGCTGGGATTACAGGCGTGAGCCACCGTGCCCGGCCAAAAATTAAACTTCTTTTATTGGTGTTTTCATTGCTCTTAGCACAGAAAAAAGGACACATTAACAAAACAAGCAATATGCAAAAGCTACCAAACTCAGACTATGTTTTTAAAAAACCAAAAGCACAAGTCACGGTTGTGCCTGGTCTTGACTAAAAGTCTCCATGGCCAAAGGCCTCCACCTGGCCACCTCACAGGGTGAGAGCTGGTGCTCAGTGGGGCCTCCGGCCACTCATCACATCCGGTTCCCAGCACTCCTTGGCTGGCCGGGTTTGTCTTCCACAAGTGACTCTAGGAGGCCGGTTTCGAACTCAGCGCAAGCTTGTGGACGTTCACTCTATTTGGTAGTAATAGTAATTCAAGTAGGGGAATCCGCCAACACCACATTAACTGCTGCCCCCAAATAGGAGCCGACTTCCTCCAGGCTCTCGAAGGAGCCCCAGTGTCAAACATGATTCCCTGATGAACGCGGCTACATCAGAGTCGACTGCCTGACGATGTCTCAGGGAGACAAACGTTCCTCTCCTGGATCCTTCCTGCAGCTGCCTCCTGGCACCTCCCTTGGCCCCACACCCACCTCAGGCAACCTCACCTCCTACTCCCATTAGGGTGGCTGTGTCTGCTGCCGAGGGCCCTCGCTCCCATTAGGTGGCTGTGTCTGCTGCCGAGGGCCCTCGCCTGCCCAGTACCAGCTCCTACTCCCATTAGGGTGGTTGTGAACTACCCAGGGCCTCGCCTGCCCAGTACCAGCTCCTACTCCCATTAGGTGGCTGTGTCTGCTGCCGAGGGCCCCGCCTCTGCCTGGTACCAGCTCCTACTCCCATTAGAGTGGCTGTGTCTGCTGCCGAGGGCCCTCGCCTGCCCAGTACCAGCTCCGCCCCATTAGGGCTGTGTTCTGCTGCCGAGGGCCTCGCCTGCCCAGTACCAGCTCCTACTCCCATTAGGTGGCTGTGTCTGCTGCCGAGGGCCTCGCCTGCCCAGTACCAGCTCCCCCTCCTACTCCCATTAGGGTGGCTGTGTCTGCTGCCGAGGGCCCTCGCCTGCCCAGTACCAGCCAGGCCCTACCCTACTTTCCACCTGACGAAGTCACTCATCAACCCCGGCAGCCAGATCCGAAGCTCAGTTCTCAATTCCTGATTTTATTCGATACCAACCTTTGACACAGCAGCCCACTCCCTGCTTCCTGAAATTACTTCTTTACATGGCTTCCTGGACACCAACACCCCACCCACAAGCACCTGCCTTGCAGAACTGCTCCCCCTAAGTCGTGCCCTCCTGAGGAAATGATTACCCTGCTCCTTCGCTTTCAGCTGAAAGTCCCGGAGTCGTACCTAACGCCTCTGCTCTGCTCATACCCAGTCTCTCAGCACATGAGCAAATCCTGTCTTCACGACCCTCAAAATTTTTCCAGAACGCAACCACTTCTCCACCGCCACTGCCTGGGCACTGGCCACCCTCACCTCTCACAGACGTACAGCCACTGCCTCCTGACTGGTCTCCTCCCACAGCACAAAGCAGAATCCTCCACAAGGGTACCTGAGACAGCCTTTGAAAATGCAAGTGGAGGACTCTAGCTCTCACCAAACCCTGCAGTAGCTCCCCATTTAACTCAGATAAAGGTGAAAGCCCCTGCAGTGCCTAGTGGCCCTCATGCCGTAATGCCATCTCCTCTGCCCTGCCTTGCCACTCTGGCCCCTGCTCTGACCATCCCCTGAATGTGCGCCCCGTGGAGGACCCTGTCTGCTGCCCCCACAGCCTGTAATGTGCCCTCCCAGATGGCCAGCGGCCAGCCTGCCCCAGCGGCTCCCCAACCCGCTTCACTTCCCACCTCATGCCTGTTTATTCTTTTTTTTTTTTGAGATGGAGTCTCGCTCTGTCGCCCAGGCTGGAGTGCAGAGGCGCGATCTCGGCTCACTGCAACCTCCGCCTCTGGGGTTCAAGCGATTCTCCTGCCTCAGCCTCCCGAGGAGCTGGGATTACAGGTGCCCGCTATCATGCCCGGCTAATTTTTGTATTTTTAGTACAGATGGGGTTTCACTCTGTTGGTCAGGCTGGTCTTGAACTCCTGAATTCATGACCCGCCCACCTCAGCCTCCCAAAGTGCTGGGATCACAAGTGTGAGCCACAGGGTCCAGCCCTGTTTATTCTTTTCCTAAGGTACTTGTCACCATTGGCCATCAATCACTTCCTTTTCTCTCCTCCCTCTGGAAGTTTCCATGAGGGCAGAGCCTCGTACCACTCAATGATCTGTCTCCAGTGCCTGTAACAGCCTCTCATTCATAACAAGATCCTGGTAAATAGCTGTTGAATGAATAAATTTATGAAAGAACTTTAATTAGATAACTGCATCTGAGGGTGTTGCCAATGGTGATGGTTAAAAGTTCTAAGAAAACAGAAGCACAGTCTGTATAATCAAAGAGTAGTGATGAAAAAATATTCCTGACAAACTGCATACCACAGAAAGACGTCGGAGAAGCACGACCTCAGTGGAAACACACAGCTCTGACAGAGTTCGGAAATGATGAGTTGACTGACCTTTTTCATACGACGGTACATTCTCTTGCAACAGTTTACTAAGCTGCACTGTATTCAAATGTAAAAATCTCAACTGCTCTCTCATTGGTCTTCCTTCCACCACCGGGAATAGAAGGCTCCCTACGCTGTCTTTTGGAATCGGCAAACCAAGTGCTATCGCCAGGGTCGCGGCCACATCCGTCTGTTGGACACGCTTTGGATGTCGGATATCACCTAGAGAAAGAAAACATTTTAAGTAACAGACTTCTAGAAAGTGTAAGATGGTAGTCATTCTTGAATTAGACCTTCTACAACTAACATGAGCCAAATGATCCGTCTCTTCACACCATTCAACACAGAATCGTACAGGAATCACCTCACTGCTTGCTGTGTCGATACAGTTACAGAACCCACTCTATGCCAGGGGCGGTGTCTTTCCTTCAGTAACCTGCAAAAGGCTGGGAGAGAGACACATGCGAGGAATTCCATACAGTGAGGCTACAGAGCACAGGCTGAACACAGAGGAAGCAGGTGGTCCAGCAGACATGGAGGGACCGTCACTTTGGCAAGGTCAACAGCCAAGCGAGAATGAAGTAAGGCTGGGATTGCTGACAGCCCGGTCCCTCTGGATTTGGAGTGTCCCATGCACTGCCCTCAACGAGCACACATGCTGTTGCTCACGGAGAAAATGAACCCTTCACGGCTCCGGAGCAGCTGTGGGTGCTTCTACAGGGGAGCGCAGAATGAGGCAGGTTCAGCTGGGCCAGGTGCTCTGATCAACTTGGACAAGCTGGACATCTGCCTGTTGGCTAAAGCTCAATCCCCAACAGGGAGTGGTTATCCTCCCATCTCCTTGCAAGAATGGCTGTGATGTCAGCACAATGGGCCTAGGCCACTGCTCTGCCACCATCCACTATGATTTCGGAGGAGACACTCAACTTGGTCGGAGTGTTTTCATCTGTAACGACAGCAAACAGCTCCATACCCCGAAAGTTCAATGCATACCTGCAGGGCGCTAACAGGCCACAGGGACGGCTATTTAGGACGGGTGGTGTGTGAGCTGTCTTTAGATACTCAGGTGTGAGTCTGTGGAGGTTTTACTTTGAGTGTGGTAATTTTTTGTTGTAGGGAGTTTTTAATTTGGTCAGATTTATTAATCAGGTCTTGGCCAACTCTCTAATGATGGCTTCTAGGTCATGCTTAGAAAGAACCTTCCACTCCAGTGTGGCTGCTTTCTTCCAGTACTTCTTTCTTCTAGTATTTTCTTACACTAAGTGCTTTGAGCTGACACAAAAACTGAAACACAAAAACAAAAACAAACCCACCTGAAATTGCTTTTGACCCTCATACTGGCAATGGCAGTGCTGGCATGGTTATTCTGAGACTGTTGTGTGTCTATTGCGGGATAAAGCCAATGAGTCATTATGTGATATTCTAATTCTATCGTATTTGGAGTTGTTGACAACCAAGATTCTAAACTTAGGGAGAAGAAAGTACAGATGTAAGACCTAAGAAGTCAATTTTACGGTTTTGAAGGTGAATTAATACAAACACAAGATCATTTTATCTTAAAACAATCTCTTCTTTCTGTCTAGAAACAATGACCAACCACTCAGAGCTAGCACTGGTAGCTCTGAGACAGTGGTCTTGAAATACCACTTTCCACTAAAAAGAAGCAGGGCATCCTGGAGAAATCGCTGACTGCAGGTCTCAAGAAGGAAATGCACGAGTAAACCGTAGTAAACCAAAGAGTTTTGGGGCTGGGGACCTAGAGATTTACAGAGACTTAAGAGACACATAAACAAATCACAATGTATGGTCTTTTTTTTTTTTTTTTTTTTTTTTTTTTGAGACGGAGTCTTGCTCTGTCACCCAGGCTGGAGTGCAGTGGCCAGATCTCGGCTCACTGCAAGCTCCGCCTCCTGGGTTCACGCCATTCTCCTGCCTCAGCCTCCCGAGTAGCTGGGACTACAGGCGCCCGCCACCTCGCCCGGCTAGTTTTTTGTAATTTTTAGTAGAGACGGGGTTTCACCGTGTTAGCCAGGATGGTCTCGATCTCCTGACCTCGTGATCCGCCCGTCTCCGCCTCCCAAAGTGCTGGGACTACAGGCTTGAGCCACCGCGCCCGGCCACAATGTATGGTCTTACTTGTAGCCTGATTCAAACAAGTTGAAACACTTAGAGAGAGACAGATCTTGGAGGGATGAACACTGTTCGGTGATATTAAGGAATTAACACTATCTTAAAAATGTGATAAGGGCATGAAGATTACGGGGGTAAAGAGCACATATCTTTTAGAGGTCTGCTTCCAAATAATAAAGGAGAAGGGAAATGAGCGTGAGCACAGATGAAAGAAGATTGGCTATAACTGGCCAATAACTGGTGAAGCTAGACTAGCGGATTTATTATACTACTGTGGCTACTGGTCTACGTCTAAAATTTTCCATACTATAGGCTTTTAAAGACATTAACATGCTTTGATCTGGATTGATATTGTTGTAAAGAATAAGGCAGACAGTCTGCATTACCTTTTTCCAAAAGCTCAGCCAGGGGTACCAGCATCATTTATCAAGCACCATGTCTTTTCTACACTAATCTGAGATGCCCCCTTTATCACCAAATCCCCAGATACACTGAGGTCTATTTCTGGCCTCTTTATTTTGCATATTTGACTGGTTTGTGACCAGTTCTTGCCCGCACAAACTATTTTAATCACTGTAATTCTGAAATACAAACACAGGGTAGGCTTGTGGATTGTACCCCACCAACGATGAGGGGCCACGAAAGAAGTTCCAGCACTTCAGAAAACCATTCCCACAGCCCAGCAGCATTCTTTCACTGCCGGTCTCTACCTCCACTGGCTCGCCTGCAGAGTCTTCAACATTCAATCCACAAGTGATAAAACATCCACTAGGTGCCAGGCACCACTGCAGGCTTGGGGGACAGAACAACAAATAGGGTCAAACATTCTAGTAGCAAGAGGCTGAAAATAAAACAGACCTGCTCTGCCCTCTGTGGACGTCCACGAACAGGCATGCTCTCCTTCCCAAACCTCTTGACTCTGGAGCAGCCAGACCTGTGCTGCCCACATGGCGAGGTCAGCACTCTGGGGATGGGCAGTGGCGGGCTGAGTGTCTCTGAAGTCACTCACTACACAATCCAAAACTGCTTATTTTGAAAATAATAAACACCTTAACATTTATTTTTATTAACATAAAACGAAAATTTGCATGCATTTTTTTTTTTTTTTTTTTTTGTTGAGACAGAGTCTCGCTCTGTCGCCCAGGCTGGAGTACAGTGGCCGGATCTCGGCTCACTGCAAGCTCCGCCTCCCGGGTTCACGCCATTCTCCTGCCTCAGCCTCCCGAGTAGCTGGGACTACAGACGCTCGCCACCTCGCCCAGCTATTTTTTTGTATTTTTTACTAGAAACGGGGTTTCACCGGGTTAGCCAGGATGGTCTTGATCTCCTGACCTCGTGATCCGCCCGTCTCGGCCTCCCAAAGTGCTGGGATTACAGGCTTGAGCCACCGCGCCCGGCCATTTGCATGCATTTTTAAGATAAAAATCCTTCAGAACTATAGGGAATAGTGTTAAGAGTAGCTCCATGAACTTGCTCATCAATGAAACAAGCATAAATGGTAAAAATTTTAAAAACCACTACTACCACCATTCACAGTCTCTGGAAATTGTCTAGGAGTACACAACAAATGAAGAAATCTTTATTCAAGAAAATCCTCTAGGCCTTGGTAAGAAGCATAAGAGTCTGTAGCCCTTGAACCGTGTCCTGCTCCATCCCTCCCCCTCCTAGCCCAGTGGGACAGAAACTCTCCTGTGGTGGGTGCAGCCCAGAACACAGAGCTCCCTTTCCCCCAGCTCCAGATGCAGGGTTGGTTATACGATCGCCCTCTCATCTCCCCCAGTTCCCGATAGAGGATTATGCGCTCTCCTTCCCATCTCCCCCTGCTCTTCTTTTCCTCGTCAAATAGAGAATATCAATAAGAGATAGAAATTATTATTATTATTTTTAGATGGAGTTTCACTCTATCGCCAGGCTGGAGTGCAGTGGCACAATCTCGGCTCACTGCAACCTCTGCCTCCCGGGTTCAAGCGTTCTCCTGCCTCAGTGTCCTGAGTAGCTGGGATTACAGGCACCCACCACCACATCTGGCTAATTTTTGCACTTTCAGTAGAGATGGGTTTCATCATGTCGGTCAGGCAATCTCGAACTTCTGACCTCGTGATCCACCCACCTCGGCCTCCCAAAGTGCTGAGATTACAAGAGTGAGCTGCCGTGCCCGGCCAGAAATTATTCTTTAAAAAGCATCAAATGAAACTCTGGAGTTAAAAAAATACGATAACTGCGGTGGCTCAAGCCTGTAATCCCAGCACTTTGGGAGGCCGAGATGGACGGATCACGAGGTCAGGAGATCGAGACCATCCTGGCGAACACGGTGAAACCCCGTCTCTACTAAAAAATACAAAAAACTAGCTGGGCGAGGTGGCAGGCGCCTGTAGTCCAAGCTACTTGGGAGGCTAAGGCAGGAGAATGGCGTGAACCCAGGAGGCGGAGCTTGCAGTGAGCTGAGATCCGGCCACTGCACTCCAGCCTGGGCGGCATAGCGAGACTCCGTCTCAAAAAAAACAAAAAAATAAATAAAAAATATATGATAACTGTTGGGCGGCTGAGGCAGGCAGATCACAAGGTCAGGAGTTTGAGATCAGCCTGGCCAATACTGTGAAACCCTGTCTCTACTAAAAATACAAAAATTAACCAGGCATGGTGGTGGGCACCTGTAATCCCAGCTACTTGGGAGGCTGAGGCAGGAGAATAGCTCGAACCCAGGAGGCGGAGGTTGCAGTGAGCTGAGATCATGCCACTGCACTCCAGCCTGGGTGACAGAGCAAGACTCCATCTCAAAAAAGGTAACTGAAACAGAATATTCACTAAAGGGGTTTAACAACAGACCTGAAGCCAGGCGTGGTGGCTCACGCCTGTAATCCCAGCACTTTGGGAGGCCGAGGCGGGTGGATCACAAGGTCAGGAGATCAAGACCACGGTGAAATCCCGTCTCTACTAAAAATACAAAAAATTAGCTGGGCACAGTGGCAGGCATCTGTAGTCCCAGTTACTCAGGAGGCTGAGGCAGGAGAATGGCATGATCCTGGGAGGTGGAGCTTGCAGTGAGCTGAGATCGCACCACTGCACTCCAGCCAGGGGACAGAGTGAGACTACGTCTCAAAACAAACAAACAAACAAAACAAAACAAAACAATAGACTTGAACTGGCAGAAGAAAGAACCAGCAATTTAAAAGACAGATCAATAGAGATTATGCAACTTAAAGAATAGAGAGAAAATTTTCCAAATTTGATGAAACACATCAACCTACACATGCAAGAAGCTCAATGAATTCCAAGTTGAGTAAATATAAAATACAGATTATAGCAAAAATGCTAAAAGACAGAGAAATGGGAAACCCAATCAGATTTAAGAGTTGACTTTTCATCAGAAACCATTGAGGACAGAACGCAGTGCGACAGCATATTCAAAATGCTGAAAGAAAAAAATAGCCAACCCAGTCTTACAGTCAGCAAAACGATCTTTCCAAAAAGCAGACAAAATAGACATCCCAAATTTTTTCTAAAACAAAAAATTCTTTGCTAGCAAATCTGCTAGCAAGAAATACTAAAAGAAATTCTTCAGGCTGAAAGCCAGTGACTCCAGATCAAATTTCAGATACATAAAAAAGCAAAGAGCATCAGTAAAGGTAATTACATAATTACGAAAGATACTATAAAAGCATTTTCTTCTTTCCTCTCCTGATTTAAAAGCAATTATATAAAACCATATCTATATAATTATGCCATCAGTTTATAACATACAGAAGAGCGACATATTTGATAACAACAGCACAGAGGTGGCAGGTGGGGACACGCTATACTGGAGTAAGAAAATGACAACATAGGAAAATAAACATCCACACAAAAAGCTATACACACATGATCACAGCATCATTATTCATCATGGGCAGAAAGTGGAAATAACCCAAATGTCCACCAACTCACGAATGGTCAATGAATGTGTTAAATCCATGCAATGGAAGACTATTTAATAACAAAAGAAATGAAGTCTTTTTTTTTTTTTTAAGACGGGAAGTTTCACTCCTGTCAGCCAGGCTAGAGTGCAATGGCACGATCTCGGCTCACTGCAACCTCCGCCTCCTAGGCTCAAGTGATTCTCCTGCTTCAGCCTCCCGAATAGCTGGGATTACAGGCATGCACCACCACACCCAACTAATTTTGTATTTTTAGTAGACACAGGGTTTCTCCATGTTGGTCAGGCTGGTCTCCAACTCCCGACCTCAGGTGATCCGCCCGCCTCGGCCTCTCAACTTGCTGGGATTACCGGCGAGAGCCACCGCGCCCGGCCTAGAAATGAAGTCTTGATACATGCTATAACTATGAACCTGGAAAAACACTATCCGACATGAAAGAGGCCACACACATGAGACTACGTGGTTCCATTACACAAAACACGCAGAAGGGGCAAATCTACCAAGATGATGATTACCTAGGGTTGGGGGAGGGACAGAAGACTGGGCTGGGGAAGAGGAAGGCGGCTGCAGAACAGTATGGGGTTTCTTTCTGAGGTGAGGAAAATGATGTAAAATTGACTGTGATGATGGTGGCCCAACGCTGTGAGTACACCAGAGTACGGTCCTGGCTCATGAAACGGGCACGATGAGAATAAAGAAAACACAACATAACCAACTCTCAGGACTGAAGCTGGTGATGAGATTGGCACGTGCAGGCAGCCTGCACGCATGCAGCCGCCCCCACCATTCCCAGCTCTGCCAGGTCAGACATTCAAGATGAAGAAGCTTCATAAAAAGATAGAAGAGGTCAGGTGGAGATGCTTCCCCAACTAACTCTCACTTCAGTGAAAGGGCTGTTCATTCAGCAGGTATTTGCTGGCAACTGTCACGTGCCAGGCAATGTTTCAGGCTCATGGTGGGCAAAACAGACATGGTCCTGTCCTCATCTGGCTTAAAGTGTAATGTGGAGGCAGATGTTATATGAATCCCATAAATAAACAAAATCCATCAATAAGTCTGCAGTGATAAACCATGCCAAGAATGATGAATGGGGACAGCTAGAGAGATCAATCTGACCAGTGCGGGGCCTATCCATGGCATTTACAACCACAGAGGCAGGTGAGACCATATCTCCAGGGCAAATGGAGAACGAAACAAGAAGGCAGTCCAGTAAAAAAGACCAGGGAAAGGAAACTAGGCTAGCAAAGGAGAGAAAAGGAGGAAAACCAGAAAGATGTGAGGTCCCAGAAGCTACGGGACCAGCAGCGCTAAGGGTGCTAAAGGGTCAGTGAGAGCAGTGCCCGAAAGCGTCTGCTGTGCTTGACAGCACTGCAGAAATAACCGCTGAGCTCACCGCGAGTGAGTCCGTGAAGTGGGGCAGCAGAAGCCAGGCGCCAGCGGAAGGCAGGCCGCCGACAGGACAGCAAGGCCGACGGCCGCAAGGGCAGAGTGCGTAGGCTGGCGGCTGAGTCAGGGCACAGGTCAAAGTGGGGTGTGTGTGTGTTTGGGGCGTGTCTGAATAGTGACAGACGGGGCCTGTGTCTGTCCTGCTCTGGCTGGGTCCCATGACTCTTGCTGACACTGCTGTTCGATAGATGGTTTTCAATAATGCAAACTTTTTAAAAAGCCGAGGTATTCATGTTTCCTTCAGTTCACATGTGCTGTCCAGATGTCTGAGCTACTGGCAGTTTTTCTCAACAGTTCCAGATATCCAGGCAGCAACACTCATACAACAAAATTCTGATGAAGAATATTTGTTTGTTAAGGATTAGGGGAAGGAATGTAACTTCAGATCCCGAAAGCCTTTTGCCCCATTACTTTTCATTCTCACATTGCTCAGGGACTTCAACCTTATGGAGCTTCTAAAAAACAGGTTTTCAAAATTAAAACCAGACTACAGAAAACAAATATAACACAGTTTCCAAATGTTAACATTCCTAAATTCTTACCAGGTTTCCTTTCAAATGCAGAACTGATTAAAATCAGAGGTGTATTCACTTCCTCCATGGAGGAGGCCCCGTGACTTCCTGTTTCAGACATGCCATGGTCACCGCAGAGAACCAGCAAATTGGGTAAAGGCGTCTCTCTCTCCTATGAGGCAAAGGAAAAATATTTCAACTGCATTCAGACTGAAGAGAGCACATCATCTTAAGAAGACAAGTTTCAGTTTTAGCTTTACTTTACAGAGTTATAGCTCTTTCTCAATGAATTAGATTTTTTTTTCCCCTATGAGCTCATAGCCAGATCACAGGGTCACAGTCAAATAACATCATAAATGAAGTCCACAGCATTGTACGCAGCTCATGGAGCACAGCAGGTTGCATTTCTGCCCTCTGATGGCAGAAGATTTGTATCTGGTTTCTGTCTTTGCCACTGCCGAGCTGTGAGACTCTGGACACATTCTACTCCGTGCCTTCGTCGCCTCATCTGTCAAATGGAATCTCTTCCACAGGACTCCGGTGAGAACACAACACACAGCACAAGGCAAGAGCTCTGAACCACCACGTGGGGGCACCCATCAGGCTTCTCTGCCCCTGGGGCTGCAGCCACACAGCCTTTGCTGCTCCGGGAAAAGCCAGGCAGGCTGTGTCTGACCCTCGCTGCTGCTCCTCCACCTGGAACACTAGTGCACAGACCACACCGTCTGCCCCTCCCTCCCTTCAAGTCTCTGCTCACCCTGCACACATCTTCAGGGAAGGCTTCTCTCAACATCTGTTGAAAGCCCCTCCTCCTGCCCTCTGAGTTTCTGCAGCACTCATCACTTCCTCACATACTTATTTACTCATGTTTCGTGTCTCTCTTGGCTAGAACACGAGCTTCACGAGGGATTATCGAATGTCTCACTGATGCACCAAATGCATGGACAGAAAGAGTGACACAGGACAGAAAGAGTGACACAGGACAGAGTGACACAGGACAGAAAGAGTGACACAGCAATGTCTCACTGATGCACCAAATGCATGGACAGAAAGAGTGACACAGGACAGAAAGAGTGACACAGAAAGAGTGACACAGGACAGAAAGAGGACACAGACAGAAAGAGTGACAGTGAACAGAGTGACACAGGACAGAAAGAGTGAGACAGAAAGAGTGACACAGGACAGAAAGAGGACACAGAAAGAGTGACAGACAGAAAGAGTGACACAGGACAGAAAGAGCACAGACAGAGTGACACAGACAGAAAGAGTGACACAGAACAGAAAGAGGACACAGACAGAAAGAGTGACACAGAACAGAAAGAGTGGGACACAGACAGAAAGAGGACACAGAAAGAGTGACAAATAGACAGAAAGAGTGACACAGACAGAGTGGACACAGACAGAAAGAGTGACACAGGACAGAAAGAGTGACAGACAAGAGTGACACAGGACAGAAAAAGTGACACAGAAAGAGTGACACAGGACAGAAAGAGGACATGACAGAAAGAGTGGACACAGAAACAGAGTGACACAGGACAGAAAAGAGGATGACAGACAGAAAGAGTGACACAGAACAGAGTGACACAGGACAGAAAGAGTGACACAGACAGAAAGAGTGGACACAGAACAGAGTGACACAGGACAGAAAGAGGACACAGGACAGAAAGAGTGACACAGAAAGAGTGACACAGAACAGAAAGAGTGACACAGACAGAGGACACAGACAGAAAGAGTGGACACAGTGACAGAAAGAGTGACACAGGACAGAGACACAGGACAGAAAAAGTGGACAGAAAGAGTGACACAGACAGAAAGAGGACACAGACAGAAAGAGGATACAGAACAGAGTGACACAGGACAGAAAGAGTGGACACAGGACAGAAAGAGTGACACAGAAACAGAGTGACACAGACAGAAAGAGTGACACAGAACAGAAAGAGTGACACAGAAAAGAGTGACACAGAACAGAAAGAGTGACACAGGACAGAGTGACACAGGACAGAAAGAGTGACACAGACAGAAAGAGGACACAGAACAGAGTGACAGATAAGAGAACAGAGTGACACAGACAGAAAGAGTGACACAGAAATTGAAAGAGTGACACAGAACAGAAAGAGTGACACAGAACACAGTGACACAGAACAGAAAGAGTGACACAGAACAGAGGACACAGAAACAGAGTGACAATAGGACAGAAAGAGTGGACACAGAAACAGAAAGAGTGACACAGAACACAGTGACACAGAACAGAAAGAGTGACACAGAACAGAGTGACACAGAACAGAGTGACACAGAACAGAAAGAGTGATACAGAACAGAAAGAGTGGATACAGACAGAAAGAGGACACACAGAAAGAGTGATGCAGACAAGTAGAAAGGACACAGAACAGAAAGAGTGACACAGAACAGAAAGAGTGACACAGAAAGAGTGACACAGGACAGAAAGAGTGACACAGAACAGAAAGAGAGACACAGAAAGAGTGACACAGACAGAAAGAGTGGACACAGAACAGAGTGACACAGAACAGAAAGAGGATACAGAACAGAGTGACACAGAACAGAGTGACACAGACAGAAAGAGGACACAGAACAGAGTGACACAGAACAGAGTGACACAGGACAGAAAGAGTGACACAGAACAGAGTGACACAGAACAGAGGACACAGGAACAGAAAGAGTGACACAGAACAGAGTGACACAGGACAGAAAGAGTGACACAGAAACAAAGAGTGACACAAGTAGGACAGAAAGAGTGACACAGAAAGAGTGACACAGAACAGAAAGAGTGACACAGAACAGAGTGATGCTACAGGACAGAAAGAGTGGACACAGGACAGAGTGACACAGAACAGAGGACACAGAACAGAAAGAGGACATGCAGCCCAGAGTGACACAGAACAGAAAGAGTGACACAGAACAGAAAGAGTGACACAGAACAGAAAGAGGGACACAGAAAGAGTGACACAGAACAGAAAGAGTGACACAGAACAGAGTGACACAGAACAGAGTGAGACAGAACAGAAAGAGTGACACAGAACAGAAAGAGTGACACAGAACAGAAAGAGTGACACAGAACAGAAGAGTGACACAGAACAAAGAGGACACAGAACAGAGTGACACAGAACAGAAAGAGTGACACAGAACAGAAAGAGTGACAAAGAACAGAAAGAGTGACACAGAACAGAAAGAGTGACACAGAAAGAGTGACACAGAAACAGAAAGAGTGACATGCAGAAACAGAGTGACAGAACAGAGTGACACAGGACAGAAAAGAGTGACACAGAAAGAGTGATACAGAACAGAAAGAGTGACACAGAACAGAGTGACACAGAACAGAAAGAGTGACACAGAACAGAGTGACACAGAACAGAAAGAGTGACACAGAACAGAAAGAGGATACAGGACAGAAGGAGTGACATGTGAACAGAGTGGATACAGAAAGAGTGGACACAGAACAGAGAGTGACACAGAATGAAAGAGTGATACAGGACAGAAGTGGAGGATACAGAACAGAGTGACACAGAAAGAGTGACACAGAACAGAAAGAGTGATACAGAACAGAAAGAGTGATGGAAGCAGAACAGAGTGACACAGAACAGAAAGCAGTGACACAGAACAGAGTGACACAGAACAGAAAGAGTGACACAGAAACAAAGAGGACATAGAACAGAAAGAGTGACACAGAACAGAGTGACACAGAACAGAAAGAGAGACACAGAACAGAAAGAGTGACACAGAACACAGTGATACAGAACAGAGTGACACAGAACAGAAAGAGTGACACAGAACAGAAAGAGTGACACAGAACAGAGTGGACACAGAACAGAAAGAGGACAGAAACAGAGTGGACACAGAACAGAAGTGACACAGGACAGAAAGAGTGACACAGACAGAAAGAGGACACAGAACAGAAAGAGTGACACAGAACAGAAAGAGTGACACAGAAAGAGGGACACAGAACAGAAAGAGTGACACAGAACAGAAAGTGACACAGAACAGAAAGAGTGACACAGAACAGAGTGACACAGAACAGAAAGAGGTGACAGGACAGAGTGACACAGAACACAGTGACACAGAACAGAAAAAGAGATGGGACACAGAACAGAGTGACACAGAACAGAAAGAGTGACACAGAACAGAAAGAGTGACACAGAACAGAGTGACACAGAACAGAAAGAGTGACACAGAACAGAAAGAGTGACACAGAACAGAAAGAGTGACACAGAACAGAGTGACACAGAACAGAGTGGACATATATTGAAAGAGTGACAGGACAGAAAGAGTGACACAGAACAGAGTGACACAGAACAGAAAGAGGGACACAGAACAGAAAGAGTGACACAGAACAGAAAGAGTGACACAGGACAGAAAGAGTGACACAGAACAGAAAGAGTGACACAGAACAGAAAGAGTGACACAGGACAGAAAGAGTGACACAGAACAGAAAGAGAGACACAGAACAGAGTGACACAGAACAGAGTGACACAGAACAGAAAGAGTGACACAGAACAGAGTGACACAGGACAGAAAGAGTGACACAGGACAGAAAGAGTGACACACAGAAAGAGTTAGACACAGGACAGAAAGAGTGACACAAGTGACAGAGTGACAGCTATGACAGAAAAAAGTGACACAGAAAGATGGACACAGGACAGGAAAGAGTGACACAGGACAGAAAGAGTGACACAGAACAGAGGACACACAGACAGAAAGAGTGACACAGGACAGAAAGAGTTAGACACAGGAACAGAGGACACAGGACAGAAAGAGTGACACAGGACAGAAAGAGTGACACAGAAAGAGTGACACAGGACAGAAAGAGTGACACAGGACAGAAAGAGTGAACACAGAAAGATGACAGCACACAGAAAGAGTGACACAGGACAGAGTGACACAGGACAGAAAGAGGACACAGGACAGAGTGACATACAGACAGAAAGAGTGACACAGGACAGAGTGACACAGACAGAAAAAGTGACAGAAAGAGTGACACAGTGACAGAAAGAGTTTTAATGTACAGACAGAAAGAGGAATATGTAGAACAGAGCGACACAGGACAGAAAGAGTGACACAGGACAGAAAGAGTGATACTGGCAACAGAGTGACACAGGACAGAAAGAAGAGCACACAGGACAGAAAGAGTGACACAGAACAGAGCTAGACACAGGACAGCAGAGCTAGACACAGGACAGAAAGAGTGACACAGGACAGAGTGGACACAGACAGAAAGATGGACACAGGACAGAAAGAGTGACACAGAACAGAGTGACACAGGACAGAAAGAGTGACACAGAATTAGAGTTGACAGACAGAAAGAGTGGACACACATATGATGACACAGACAGAAAGAGTGACACAGACAGAAAGAGTGACACAGAACAGAGTGGACACAGGAAAGAGCGACAACAGGACAGAAAGAGTGACACAGGACAGAAAAGAGTGACACAGAACAGATGACACAGGACAGAAAGAGGATACAGAACAGAGTGACATAGGACAGAAAGAGTGACACAGGACAGAAAGAGTGACACAGAACAGAGTGACACAGAACAGAAAGAGTGACACAGAGATGCACACAGGACAGAAAGTATACACAGGACAGAAAGAGTGACACAGAACAGAGTGACACAGGACAGAAAGAGTGGACACAGACAGAGGACACAGAACAGAGTGGACACAGGACAGAAAGGAGACACAGAACAGAAAGATGACACAGAACAGAGTGACACAGAACAGAGTGACACAGGACAGAGTGACACAGGACAGAAAGAGTGACACAGGACAGAAAGAGGATACAGAACAGAGTGACACAGAAATGAGTGACACAGACAGAGTGACATACAGGACAGAAAGAGTGACACAGGACAGAAAGAGGACACAGAACAGAGTGACACAGGACAGAAAGAGTGACACAGAACAGAAAGAGTGACACAGAACAGAGTGACACAGACAGAAAGAGTGACACAGGACAGAGTGACACAGAACAGAGGACACAGGACAGAAAGAGGACACAGGACAGAAAGAGTGACACAGGACAGAGTGACACAGACAGAAAGAGAGTGACACAGAACAGAAAGAGTGACACAGACAAATATAGAGTGACAGAAAGAGTGATGGCAGACAGAAAGATGACACAGAACAGAAAGAGTGACAGAACAGAGACACAGAACAGAGTGACACAGGACAGAAAGAGTGACACAGAAACAGAAAGAGAGTGACACAGAACAGAAAGAGTGACAGGACAGAAAGATAGACACAGAAAGAGTGGATACAGGACAGAAAGAGTGACACAGAACAGAAAGAGTGATGACAGAACAGAGTATGACAGAACACAGTGACACAGAACAGAAAGTGACACAGAACAGAGTGACACAGAACAGAGTGACACAGGACAGAAAGAGTGACACAGGACAGAGTGACACAGAACAGAAAGAGTGACACAGAACAGAAAGAGTGACACAGGACAGAAAGAGGACACAGAAAGAAAGACATAGTGACAGAAAGAGTGACACAGAACAGAAAGAGTGACACAGAACAGAGTGACACAGAACAGAGGACACAGACAGAAAGAGTGGACACAGAACAGAAAAGAGGACACAGACAGAAAGAGTGACACAGAAAGAGGATACAGAACAGAGTGACACAGAACACAGTGACACAGAACAGAAAGAGGACACAGAAACAGAGTGACACAGAACAGAGGACACAGGAGAAAGAGTGGACACAGAACAGAAAGAGTGACACAGAACAGAGTGACACAGAACAGAAAGAGTGACACAGAACAGAGTGACACAGAACAGAGTGGACACAGACAGAAAGAGTGACACAGAACAGAGTGACACAGAACAGAGTGGACACAGACAGGAAAAAGAGTGGACACAGAACAGAAAGAGTGACACAGAACAGAAAGAGTGACACAGAACACAGTGACACAGAACAGAAAGAGTGACACAGAACAGAGTGACATATGAACAGAGTGACACAGGACAGAAAGAGGACACAGAACAGAAAGAGGACACAGAACACAGTGACACAGAACAGAAAGAGTGACACAGAACAGAGGGACACAGAACAGAGTGACACAGAACAGAAAGAGGATACAGAACAGAAAGAGTGATACAGGACAGAAAGAGTGGACAGAAAGAGTGATACAGACAGAAAAGAGTGACACAGAACAGAAAGAGTGACACAGAACAGAAAGAGGGACACAGAAAGAGTGACACAGGACAGAAAGAGTGACACAGAACAGAAAGAGGGACACAGAAAGAGTGACACAGGACAGAAAGAGTGACACAGAACAGAGGGACACAGAACAGAAAGAGTGATACAGAACAGAGTGACACAGAACAGAGTGACACAGGACAGAAAGAGTGACACAGAACAGAGGATACAGAACAGAGTGACACAGGACAGAAAGAGAGTGACACAGAACAGAGTGACACAGAACAGAAAGTGACACAGAAACAGAAAGAGTGACACAGAACAGAGTGACACAGGGACAGAAAGAGTGACACAGAACAGAAAGAGTGACACAGAACAGAAAGAGTGACACAGAAAGAGGGACACAGAACAGAAAGAGTGACACAGAACAGAGTGACACAGGACAGAAAGAGGACATGGTGACAGAGGACACAGAACAGAGTGACACAGAACAGAAAGAGTGACACAGAACAGAGTGACACAGAACAGAAAGAGTGGACACAGAAACAGGTGAAAGAGTGACACAGAACAGAAAGAGTGACACAGAAAGAGTGGACAATAGAACAGAAAGAGTGACACAGAACAGAGTGACACAGAACAGAGTGACACAGAACAGAAAGAGTGAGCGCGTGAACAGAGTGACACAGGACAGAAAGAGTGACACAGAACAGAAAGAGTGACACAGAACAGAAAGAGGGACACAGAACAGAGTGACACAGAACAGAAAGAGTGACACAGAACAGAAAGAGTGACACAGAACAGAAAGAGGGACACAGAACAGAAAGAGTGACACAGAAAGAGTGACACAGAATAAGAAAGAGGACACAGAACAGGAGTGACAGAACAGAGTGACACAGGACAGAAAGAGTGACACAGAAAGAGTGATACAGAACAGAAAGAGTGACACAGAACAGAGTGACACAGAACAGAAAGAGTGACACAGAACAGAGAGACACAGAACAGAAAGAGTGACACAGAACAGAAAAAGTGGATACAGGACAGAAGGAGTGGACATGAACAGAGTGACACAGAAAGAAAGGACACAGAACAGAAAAGAGTGACACAGAACAGAAAGAGTGATACAGGAAGCAGAAGTGAGTGACATGAGAACAGAGTGGACACAGAAAGAGTGACACAGAAACAGAAAGAGTGATACAGAAACAGAAAGAGTGATACAGAACAGAGGACACAGAATAGAAAGAGTGACACAGAACAGAGTGACACAGAACAGAAAGAGTGACACAGAACAGAAAGAGTGACACAGAACAGAAAGAGGACACAGAAACAGAGTGACATAGAACAGAAAGAGTGACACAGAACAGAAAGAGTGACACAGAACACAGTGATACAGAACAGAGTGACACAGAACAGAAAGAGTGACACAGAACAGAAAGAGTGACACAGAAACAGAGGACACAGAACAGAAAGAGTGACACAGAACAGAGTGACACAGAACAGAGTGACACAGGACAGAAAGAGTGACACAGGACAGAAAGAGTGACACAGAACAGAAAGAGTGACACAGAACAGAAAGAGTGACACAGAAAGAGTGACACAGAACAGAAAGAGTGACACAGAAACAGAAAGTGACAGAACAGAAAGAGTGACACAGAACAGAGTGACACAGAACAGAAAGAGTGACACAGAAAGAGTGACACAGAGACAGGACACAGAAACAAGAGTGACACAGAAACAGAGTGACACAGAACAGAAAGAGGACACAGAACAGAAAGAGTGACACAGAACAGAAAGAGTGACACAGAACAGAGTGACACAGAACAGAAAGAGTGACACAGAACAGAAAGAGTGAGACAGAACAGAAAGAGTGACACAGAACAGAGTGACACAGAACAGAGTGACACAGGACAGAAAGAGTGACACAGGACAGAAAGAGTGACACAGAACAGAGTGACACAGAACAGAAAGAGTGACACAGAACAGAAAGAGTGACACAGAACAGAAAGAGTGACACAGACAGAAAGAGGACACAGAACAGAAAGAGTGGACACAGAACAGAAAGAGTGACACAGAACAGAAAGAGTGACACAGAACAGAGTGACACAGAACAGAGTGACACAGAACAGAAAGAGTGACACAGGACAGAAAGAGTGACACAGAACAGAGTGACACAGGACAGAAAGAGTGACACAGAACAGAGTGACACAGGACAGAGTGACACAGAACAGAAAGAGTGATACAGGTCTTCAGGAGGTATTAGTTGAATGAACGCACACATGGTAGGAGTGACAGCTGCTGTTCTGCAGGGCTGCTGGAAGACAGAGTCAGTGCAGTGGACACTGAGACAGTGCTGCCCGTGGCATGCGGCCCCTGCCTGGCAGACTGATGGTGGACATTCACACAGGCGCCCTGAATTCACTCAGGCAGTTGTATTTATTCTAGGGAATATCCACGTGAAACCACATCACCACACAGTGCGCGACGGCAAGCCTCACCTTCGACTGCAGCGAGGTATGGATCTTCATCAGCACACTGTCCATCTCGCTCAGCTTGTGCCCAATCAGGGGGCTGTTGGGCCCTGAAATGTGGCCAATGTGGTCCAGCCCCAGGTAGTGGAGGATTAACATGTCCCAATCTCCTCTTTTTAATACTTTATCCAAATGCCTCGTGACATTATTATCCACCTTTGAAGGGGAAACACACGTATAAACAGCTCACCTAATTTCCCTGGATCTTCACTCCCCGGGGAAAAGGCAACAGTCATCTTAAAACCTAGGGGTTTATTCAGGTTAACAGGATTTCGGTGAGTTGAAAGACAACAAAATCTATGTCATTAAAAATAAATAAATAGGCAGGACACAGCAGCTCACACCTGTCATCTCAACACTTGAGGAGGCTGAAGGGGGAAGACTGCTTGAGGCCAAGAGTTCAGGATCAGCCTGGGCAACATAGCAAGACCCCACGTCTATAATAAATAAATGAACATTAGCATTAGATTAAACTTTTGCTAATACTGTTTTTACGTTTCTAGGCTATGGATTGAAGATATTATACAGATAATTTAAATGAGCAAGGGTTGTTCTAATAAAAATATTTTTCTGTGGGATCACTGCTGAGTTTGATGGGCATAACTAAAGGTTAGCAAATGGGCAAGTTAAATAGATCCCAAGTTGTCACGAGGTAACTAAGGGCAACTGGCAGTTAATTAAAGACAGGACAGTACCCAGAGTTGAAGTAACCAGCAGGACAGTGAAGCTAAGGGCACCTACATGTGTCCTACAAGAAGGCTGTTCTTGGAGGGAAAAAGACAGAGCACTCAGTGATCACATTTATTTCTGAAATAAACACATCATGGAGGAGAGATCAGCAGTTGATCAGCCCCAGACAGAGCTGTCAGCCTGGTGAGCCCTGACCCCTCAGCTCGCTCATCTCCCTCCCACTAAAAAAATCTCCCATGAAGAGAAGTGTTTCTCAATGATGCCATGTACAGTCAGGAAAACTCAGTCATTACTGAAAAGTAACTGTTGAAAAGCACCCCACTTTGGAACAGGATAGGACTGCAGATGTTCCACAAGGCCCAGCCATCTAGGAGGTGAAGGTGGCTAGACCCCAGGCCAGGAAGGTGTGCTGGTGTGCCCCTGCCTCAGCCCCAGGGTCTGCTTTCTAACATGCGGGTCTAATCTTTGTTGGAAAAGCTCCAGGAAAATCCCCTCGGGGCCAGGCCCTACCCAGTCCACCACCTGCCCTCAGGGCACGAAGAGGCTCTGCTTGCAGCAGAACCAACAGGGTGTGGAGTGCTATAGCTCTGCCACACGCAGAGGCTACCAGCCTGTTCTGCCCACCTGGGGAGTCCCCACTCACCCATCACAACTCGGCTCAGACGGCCCCTTGGCTGTGTCACCCTTCCTGATCCTCTCTGCCCCTCAATGGCACTCAGCTGTTCTGAGCTCTGGGTTCCATAAAACTCTGCTCACACTTGCTTCAGGTTTGTATTTCTGGGTTGTCAATACGTGAGTGAATAATTTTTAAAACTGTCCATAGTACTCCCCATAAATTAATAAAACCAAATACAAAATAGTATCATCTCTCACTAAGCAATGGTGATGCCAGGCTCTATCTAGTATGATATTCTAGTACGATTTATTTTCTTATTTTAAAAACTGACCTCTGTGTAATCTGACACGAAAAATGAGGTTGTTCCATCATATTCCACAAAATGCTTTGGGAATAATTTAACCCAGGTTTCATCTCCATAAAAGATTATTCTTTTTCCAGCTGTTTTTGCTTGTCTTATCACACTGTCTTCCAGCAGTGCAGGAGAATTGAGATTCCTGACGACATCGACAAAGCCAGGAAGGCTCCCCGTCATCAACGCCTTCAGTAAGAAAACGCAAGAATTAGACCACTGAATCCAAAACTGGAGCATGAAAAGGGCACTGAAGAATTATTTTTTTTCAGACAGGGTCTCTCTCTGCTGCTCAGGATGGAGTTGCAGTCACACAATCATGGATCACTGCAGCTTTGAACTCCTGGGCTCAAGCGGTCCTCCCACCTTAGCCTCCCAAGTAGCAGGGACTACAGGTGTGCGGCACCACACCCGGCTTTTTTTTTTTTTTTTGGGGGGGGTAGCTACAGGGTCTCGCTATGTTGCCCAGGCTGGTCTGAAGATCATTTTATGGATAAAATAGGTGAGCATAAAGCTAGGGTATCCCTAGTACTGGTGGCTGGGTCAAAGTTAGGATAGTAATTAGGGTAAAGAAGGGAAAGTGGCACATAGATTCTGGTAAAAAACTGTAAACTCAATAATAATAAAGATAACCATATTAAAGGACATTCATGGCTCATAATAATCTTTCCAGCCGATAAGAGGTTAAAGGAGGTGGCTAGGGATAGTGAGACAACAGCAGCAGCCAGAGAAGCAGCTATGGGTTCGTGACATAGCTGAAGCAAATGGCAAAGTGAGGTATACATTAAAAACATTAACCTGTGTATTCAAAGCCTCTGCCAGGTTCCCAATTAAGATTCAAATCTCCATGTGACAAGCAAAGTCCATCCAATTCCTAAGAATCCAGCAATTCCAACATCTACCTTTGAGTGGAAAATCAGGATGAAAGCAGTCCTAAAGCGTGAACTTTCAGCAATTTGCAAAGTGAACTGGGCCAGGGAGGCCAGTGGGATGGTCTCTTCTGCTCCCGCCCTCAATGTTGCACCATATTTTCTGGGAGGGGTGGGGGGTGACATGTTCTTATATCCTTCTGATAATAGAATTGAGTCAAGAATTTCCCTGATTTTAGCATAGAACCTAAGAGGCCATCGTAATGGGTAATAGATCTCTGTGATTTAGACTTATACAGCCACCAGAGCCAGCACTGGCATCCTGCAACCTGTGCAATGAAAATAAACAGGAACCTGGATAACACCAGCAGGTGAAATAATTTTACCAAGACATCTTTAACGGTAAATAAATGCAAGTATGAATTATCCAGACTTCTGGAATGCTACGGGGAGGAGCTCAGCAAAATCTCCCCCCCAGGAGCAATAATAAAACTGGATGAAACTATCAAAAGCAACCATTTTAGTACTTTGGAAATTCACCAAAATTATAGAACAGATTGAGAAGAGCTTATTTAAGAAAAAAACGGAATCTCAGTAAGAACAGCAAGTGCCATGGTGTTTCCACACAGGGCGGCTCCCACCTCCCTTCTTTCCAGCTGCAAGCTGCAGCAGCCACCGAGAAGCCTCACACCCAGGGAGGTTAGGAAAACACATCAGGGGTGCTGAAGCACAACCTCTGACCAATCACTGGCTGACCACTAAGCTATGCGGAGCCCGGGGTTAGCTCCTGAGGCTTCAGGAGCCTCAGGAAGACAGGCTTAAAAATAAAAACAAGAACTTAAATACCAAGAGAACCAAAAGACCTAAGTGAAGACATCAGTTGCTGCATGCTGCCAGGGAGACAGACTGCAGAAGTCGTTTAGGAAGTAACTATACAAACAACTAAAATAACCCTAACAGCAACCAACATTCCTAGGGTGGGGTTAGAGCTGAGGTGGGTTGTGCCTGGATATATACATTTGTTAAATTCTGTACGTGCAAAAATGTAATTATATAAAAATTACATTTCAATAAAGTTATTTTTTAAAATGTGAGCCTCTCTCACCCCAAAATCCCATTCTTTAAAAGGCAGCCAATTACTCTTGGTATCCTTTTAGACTCTTTTCTGTGTGTGTGTGTGTGTGTGTGTGTGTGTGTGTGTGTGTGTATAAAATCATAAATATATGAAGGTACATATTTTTTACCAAAATGGTAGCAAACTATACAAATTAGTCTCAAACTTCTTCAATTAATAACATATCATGAACCTCTTTACCTAGGGAAAATTTAAAGTGGTCCCTACCCTCTTTAAAAATATCAGTGGGAACCCAAGCTAGTGTGAGGACAAGGGGGGTGCCTTATAAAAGCCACAAAAGAAGGGATGAAAACAGAAAACTTTTATATTGTCAAGATGTTGTAAACAAAGTCAACTAACATGATAAACTGAAACAATTATTGACTGTGGACATGACATACAAGATGTTACATCCATGATGTATAAAGAGGTTCGGATCAAGGAGCGACAGTCCTGTGGAAACTGGGCAGACTACATAACAGCATCCACCAAGCAAGAAAGCGGAATGGCCAATAAACATATGCAGAGATTCTGGACTAGTAATCAGAGCAGGGTAAACAGAACAACCCATAAGCCAGTTTTTGTTTATCATAATGTGAAAATTTAAAGATGGATGATCTCTACCCTGCACAAGAAATGAGGTGAACAGGTGCTCTTGAAATACCGTGGATGTGAATACAGGTTGACTGAGCCAGTATCTCCATGGCCACCACCGTCATCCAGGCTGCTGTGGGCTCCAACCTGAACTATTATAAATGCCCTAGCACCTTTTCTTGCCCAAATCCCATCTGGACACAAATCACACCCTGCTACACTACTCTTTAAAACCCTTCTGTAGTTTTCCCTCTGCTGGGTTTGAACACCGAACGCCATCACCCAGAGCCTCGAGGCTCTGTGCAGCCTCGCTCCTATTTACCTCTTCATCCTCATACAGGCCCCCTTTTGTGTTCCCTTGCCCTTCATCCACACAGGTCACACGCAGCTCACACGGAAAAGAATCTAAAAGGATACTCACCAAGAGTAATTGGCTGTCTTTTAAAGAGTGGAATTTTGGGGTGAGAGAGGCTCACGTTTTAAAAAATAACTTCATTGAAATGTAATTTTTATACAATTACATTTTTGCACATACAGAATTTAACAAATGTGTATATCCAGGCACACCCCACCTCAGAGGGGATTTGGCATCCCCTCATCCCAGAAAGCGTGCAGGCAGCGAGTGGGCTGCACTCACAGTCCTAGGAAATCTAAGGGAAAGCTCAGGTCTGTCAATCAATGCCAGCTATTATTATGACTAGAAAGTGCTTGAAGAATGAGAAGGCATTCAAAAATGAGTTACAGGACTTTAAAACAAAGCTGCTGCAGGGTCTTAGCAAGTGAAAGCTCACTGGACATGTCAGGGTTGGCGTCTGGTTGCAAATGTATCAATACCAGGAGATGCTCTGAGCCCTTTCTCGGACTCGGACTGGAGGCAGGGCAGGGGACGCTTTCCTCAACCAACACTGCCGAACCTACCAAACTCCAGAGCTGTACAACCCTAACTCCAGTATGGGCTTTCTGTTCTAGCTCCTCCCTGATGGAGAAATAAGGAGCAAGAATCCTCAAAGGACTGAAAACGAAACAAAACACTAGCTCTGGGGTGAGGCTCCCCAGCAAAGGTGAAATAAAACCAATAAGCTGGAGACAGAGGTGCCAAGAACCACAGTGCCAACGTGCTGGTCTGAATAGAACCTGGAGCCTGCACAATCACTTACACATTTTCTCAAATCTGCCTGTTAAATCTTAAAAAAAAAAAAAAAAAAAAAGGGAGAAAAGGGTTCCTTCCACACTTCTGAGAGAGCAGATAAAGAAATCGGTGTTTCTGAAGATCAGGGGCCTGGATGTCTCTTTCAGATTCCCACGGCTAGTTTCAGCAGAATGGCAGAAACGGAGTGCTGTGATCAAAGGTGCCTGCCCCTCTCCTTCATTCTCCCTCACCTCCCGCTCCATTCCTTCCAGAGCAGTTGTCACTGTCTGAAACGATCTTCATTGATTCATATTTTACCAATTTTCTCCAATTAGATTCCGATTCCTCCAATTAGAAAGTAGGCTCCATGAGGACAATGCTGTCTTGTTCTTCACTGCATCCCTCCTGTCTAGAACAGCATGTCACATAGTACATGCTCAATAAATATTGCTGAATGAAGGTCACATCATATTGAAATGTGGCAGAGAGAGTAAAACATTCAAGAAAAAAGTCAGTGAGCGATATGGCACTGTGCTTCCTCCAGTCTCAGACTGCTCATCCAGCGAACATTCGCTGAGCATCGACAACCGGGGCTGCCCCCAAGCCTTCAATCAGTAAGCAGCTCCTTCTCACCAAGTAACAAGCTGTCACACCATCAACCACACAGCAAAGGCTCCGTCAGAGAGTTTATGCCACACTCACACGCAATACACTCACAAACACAATTCAACCATTCTGCTCCTTTCTGTCCCCACCTTTATTCATCCTTCCACTCTCAGTTTAAATGCAATTTCCTCAGCCGGGATTTCTCACCCACTAATCATCACATCCTGTTCTTTCCCATCATGCACTAACCACACTTTACAACTGCATGTTTTCTTTCTTTTTTTTTTTGAGATGGAGTCTTGCTCATTGCCAAGGCTGGAGTGTAGTGGCGCAATCTCAGCTCACTGCAAGCTCCACCTCCCGGGTTCACGCCATTCTCCTGCCTCAGCCTCCCGAGTAGCTGGGACTACAGGCGCCCACCACCACGCCCAGCTAATTCTTTTGTATTTTTAGTAGAGATGGGGTTTCACCATGTTAGCCAGGATGGTCTCGATCTTCTGACCTCGTGATCCACCCGCCTCGGCCTCCCAAAGTGCTGGGATTACAGGTGTGAGCCACCGCGCCCGGCCCAACTGCATGTTTTCATATGCTCCTTTGTTGAGTGACTGTATATCTAAAGACTAAAAGCTACATGAAGGCAGAGATACTATTTTTTCCCCAATTGTATACCCATTAAAATATCACCACATAGTAGTTGCTCAAAAGTTTTCGAGCCAATCAATAAAGGCTTACTTTTTTTCTTTACCCATGGTTCTTGGGAAACACACTATGTACTTCAAAGCTGCTGTCAGTAGGCTGGACACCTGAAGGATATGGTGGAAACAGTGGTAATTGTTGAGGCAGATCATACTAATTGGATCATTATGTATACTGGTGGATACTTTTGGAGAAGTCACATTTAACTTATCTGGGTTTGCTTTCCTATCTATAAGATCTAGAGACTGAACTAGATCAGCTCTAAAGGCTCCTTCTAAGACTGCAAATGACCCAGTGGTGATTAAGGAAGAAAGCAGGTTACCAAGAATGGTATATCTTGGGGTAGGTTAGCCTGGGTGATCTTGCTGTAAATCTTTTATACTTCCCATGAAGCATGAGCTTTGGCTACTTGACAAGAGGCACAAATCATGGGTCTCAGTTCCGTCCTGTGTGAGGCTCCTTCAGCATTCTATTGCCCCAGCCAACTGATAGCACAAAATTTCCACTTTCTTAAAATTGCAACTCCAAGCGAAAGACTACAGAGGCCCCCTTTAAATCTTCAAAAGAACCAAACCATGATTCATTAAAACATTAAGGCTAACTTACCTTGATTCGAGGCATAGTAACTGTAGGTGGCTTTGCTTCAGCCACAAAACTGTGAGATGCTCCTTTTTCCACAAGATAAGTTGTGTAGGGCATAAATTTCACACCCTTTGATCCAAACACAAAATCATCTCTCAAGGCATCTATCAGAACAATAACAACTTTACTGAAGAGAGGTGATGGCAGCGTGGTCCAGTTAGAACTGGCTCCTAAGTGTTTGAAAGAAAAAAAGGAAATTGAACTTTAAACTTTCCTAAGCATTCAAGCACCTCCACAATCTAGCTCCTACCTACTTCTCCAGCACATATCCTGCCATATCTATATAGCCCAACCCAAAAGGAGACGACTTGTACTTGGTAGGTAGTGCTGCGGGGAACGGACGGGGGTTAACAGGAGTAATCTCAGGGACCCACAGTAGTAAGCAGTTAATTATCCTTAGTATGGTGAGGAGTACCAGGGCAGGGGAATCCCTACATAAGCGTCCTGGGATGGGACATTTAGGGAGCTTGACCTAAAACGCAGAGCTGCAAGAATGGGATGGCTGGGTGTTTATATACTGCGTTTCACGGTCAGCGGTTGGTGCGTGCACGTGGCCCAGAACCAGGGCGCCTTTACTTGCTATATATGGCTGGGTAGATGAAGACTAGGAAGGGGCCTAACGCAGAAAGGCCTTAGCCACTAGGAAGGGAAAACATCTTGGAGGAATGTAAGAGACCCAAACGCGAAGGGATCGGCAGGGATCTTATCTGTAGTGTGCTAGGGGGCAAAAAGGGCGCCTGGAACAGGGAGAGTGACCCAAAGGCTGCTCAGGAGAGGGGCGGGGGCTCTGGACGAGTAGAGCTGGAGAGGCCGGATCCCAGGTATGGACACAGCTTACTTTGTGGTGATCAGGAAGGAAGGTCGAAGTGGGGCCAGTAGAGGTGGTTGCCACAAAGTTGTAAGAATACAGAAAAGAGACGCTGGAGCGATTAAAAAAAAAAAAAAAAAATTCTGGGGTGGGGACCATAACGGAAGAGACACCACCGGGGAGCGCCGAGAAGAAATCCCAGCAGTGACGCTCAGAAAAAGGGTCTCCTAGGGGATGTGGGGTCAGGGGAGCGGAGATGCTGGGGAGGGGTCCGTACCAGCCGAGGGTTCGGGCGCTGGGGGCTCTGCTCCGTGTTCCGCCCTCGCAGAGGAACGAACGGGAGCCGGAAAGAATCCCCGAAGGAAGACTGCGATCCCTAGCACCTCGATCGCTACGCAACAGGTCGCGAAAGTCCCGGAGCCCAGCCGCATCGTGGACACGCCAGGCGGGATGCGGAACCGACCCCACCTGGAGCTTCGCCCTGCTGCACCCGCGCTTCCGGCTCCAGGTAGCCGCCTCTAAGCAAGAACGCCCGGGCTTACAGTCGCAGCCACAGTGGCGTCACGACCGCCGGCGGGCCACAGTGGCGCGTCACTTCCGCTGGCGCGCCAAAGCGGCGTTACGCTGGAAATACGCCCAGCGGGCGGTGATCCAGGCTCTCTGGGGCGGCCTTCCTGGCGAGTCCGCGGTGGGCGCAGCCCACTGCAAGGTACAAGGTTTAAGAATTTTTTCAATTTGGAAGGCCGGGCGCAGTGGCTGACGACTGTAATCCCAGCACCTTGGGAGGCCGATGCGGGCGGATTCACGAGGTCAAGAGATGGAGACCTTCCTGGCTAACATGGTGAAACCCCGTCTCTACTTAAACTACAAAAAATTAGCGGGGCGCGTGGCGGGCGCCTGTAGTCGCAGCTACTCAGGAGGCTGAGGCGGGAGAATGGCCTCAACCCGGGAGGTGGAGCTTGCAGTGAGCCCAGATCGGGCCACTGCTCTCCAGCCTGGGCGACAGAGCGAGACTGTCTCACCAAAAAAAAAAAAAAGTTTATTTGAAAATTTTATTATTTAATCGACACAGTGTAAGGGCACATATTTATGGACACGATTTGATGTTCAGATAAATATATGTTGTTGTCTTAATTTAGGAGAGCTAAATAATTAAACATGAGGCCAAAGTACATAAGAAAGCAGCAGCCTTTTATTGCAAATACGCACACACTGTTGGGGGAGGTTCTCCAGTCCTCAGGTGCGGGGCCAGGGAAGTCGGGCCAGCCTCTGCGGGGGCGGACTTTTATGCATTGGTACTGGAAGGGGAAGGGCAGTGGGCGGGATAAGGGCGTGATAGGGGCATCTCAGTAGGTGTGGCTGGGTAAGTCTCTTTCTTCGGATTGACATCACCTGGCGCATGCTTCCTTGTCCTGCACTTTCCTGGGCACGGGAAAGTTGGTGATAAAGAACCCGGAAGCAATTGGGACTGTGCCATGTTGTTCACCTTCCTCCATTTTGGTCCCTTCTCCCTCACCCAAACGGTCCAACCTCTTATTAATTATAAGAATTTGGGCCGGGCGCGGTGGCTCAAGCCTGTAATCCCAGCACTTTGGGAGGCTGAGACGGGCGGATCACGAGATCAGGAGATCGAGACCATCCTGACTAACGCGGTGAAACCCCGTCTCTACCAAAAAAAAAAAAAACACACACAAAAAACTACCCGGGCGTGGTGACGGGCGCCTGTAGTCCCAGCTACTCGGGAGGCCGAGGCAGGAGAATGGCGTGAACCCGGGAGGCGGAGCTTGCAGTGAGCTGAGATCCGGCCACTGCACTCCAGCCTGGGCGACAGAGCGAGACTCCGTCTCAAAAAGGAAAAAAAAAAAAAACTCTCAGGTAGAGACGTGGTGGCTCGCTCTGTTCCCAGTACTTTGGGAGGCAGAGGCAGGCCAGATCAGGGTCAGGAGATCGAGGTCATCTCTGGCTAACACTGCCAAACCCCGTCTCTACTAAAAATACAAAAAAAAATTAGCGAATCGGTGGTCAGCGCCTGTATTCCAGCCTCTCGGGAGGCTGAGGCCGGGGAGAACTCCGTCTCAAAAAGGAAAAAAAAAAAAAACAAGAATTTGGGGCCGGCGTGGTGGCTCACGCCTGTAATCCCAGTACTTTGGGAGACCGAGGCAGGCAGATCACGAGGTCAGGAGATCGAGACCATCCTGGCTAACACTGTGAAACCCCGTCTCTACTAAAAATACAAAAAATTAGCCAGATGCGGTGGTCAGCGCCTGTATTCCCAGCTACTCGGGAGGCTGAGGCAGGAGAATGGCGAGAACCCGGGAGGTGGAGCTTGCAGTGAGCCCAGATTGCGCCGCTGCACTCCAGCCTGGGCGACAGAGCAAGATTCTGTCTCAAAAAAAAAAAAAAAAAAAAAAGAATTTGGGGCGCCGTTTTCTGTCTGGCTGCTTCCTGCTGTTAAGGGGTGTAGTTAGGGTCTGAGGTTGGCAGCTGGACATAGGGATGCAGGAGCATTTGGTTGAAGGTGACTTGGGTGATTTCTTGGACCCTAGCTCAGAGAAATTTTATTAGAATGGGAGCAAAGCATAATATAAGACAGAGGATTAGTATGGAAATTAGGAATAGAAGCATCTGCTGTACTATAGGCAGCAGCCATACCAACAATTTAAGGGGGCATTAAATTGTTGAAGCTCCTTTTTGATTTTGTTTAATGTTTGGACCTTGGTGTCAACCAGGCCTAATCCATTTATGTAGTAGCAACACTCCTCTCCTAGGAAGAGTCATGTTCCTCCTTTTTCAGCTGTAAGAAGATCTAATGCCCGCCTATTTTGTGCTGCTACCTGGGCTACTGAGGTGATTTGATGTTGTAAAGAGGCTACGCTTTCAGCTGAAGCCTCTATGGCTGCCTGGACCTGAGTGGAGAGGGTCTGTGTGGATTGAATGGAGTGGGTGAGGGCCCCTGTTCCAAGTCCTGAGGCTACTAGGGACGATGCTAGGGAAACCCCGATAACTAAGGGAAGAAAAATGGCCCGTTTTTGGATTTTATTCCTGGAAGTGGTAAGCTGGGAAGTTAGCTTGGACAATTCTCCTTCGCCATATAGGGTTAAACTAGGCACTAAAGACACCGGAACGCAAAGGGATTGGGTGATGAAGGTGTGGTTAAGAATTTTGGATAAAGTTTGGTCACACCAGAAGTAGCCGCCAACGGGAGCCATCTGGGTCCCGCTGGGAGCTTGGGTGTGATTACACCATGAAGGGTTGGGAGTAGAGTAGCAGAAAGAAAGGGTTTGACTTTCTGGATCATGGTATAATGAGACTTGAGGCAAGGATGTTGCTTGAGAGGAGCTGGTAGGGTTGGTGGTGATATTGAAAGCGGCTGGTAGAGGGACTGCCACTAAGGGAGGTTTCCCGAGTGCAGCGCAGAGGAAGCAGTGGGAGAGGTTTTTCAGTCCAACAGCCTGTGTCAAGTTAAGTCCTTGGCGAATAAGTGTCAACCATGAGAATGGGTCCTCATTGTTAGGGGGTAATGGGTCCTCATTGTTAGGGGGGCTTAACTGTTTTTGTAGTTTTTGTTCATGAGATTTTATGGCTGAGGTTAAATTTTGTAAATTTTGTAGGGCCTGTATACTTTTAGGGAGATGTATTTGCTGTATGTATACTCTCTTTACCTGAATGGTTGCAGTGGGATATGAGGAAAAAGATGATGCATATAGTCCACCTTTAACTCCCTGGGCCCACCAGGGGTCCCAGGGATCCTTAATATGAAGAATATATTTTCCTGATGTTAAATTTCTTATAAAAGGTCAATCTTTGGGGGTACAATAACCATTCTCACACAGTAGGGCCAACTCATGCATGTTGCAATAGTTGTATGGACACCCCAGGTTGGTTTCTTGCCTGTAATTTTTACAATTATATTCAGTTTGGTCGTACAAGAAACGTATGACTGGGCCGTCGTAGTTGCCGACGGAACCTAGGTCAAATTGAAGGGAGAGGGCAGCTTGACAGACCTGGGGGGAGCAATCTGCAGTGCCTTGCATGGCTGAGTGTACCTGGTTGTTTGTAGACCAGGTTTCAGTTATAGAGAATCTCCATATAAACTTAGGATTAGTAGGAGTAACTAGGGGAATTAGAGTAAACCATAATAATGGTAACGAAGGTGTAGAGGGTAAGTTCGACATTGCTGAAATCACAAAGGGCACCCTGCCAAACTAGGTCTTCTATGAGAGTAAAAAGTCCGGAGACCCACTGGCTGGGGGATGGGTCAGGAAGGAGGGTATCTGTGGGGTTTATGAGGGAAAAGTCAGTTAAGTTAAGATGAAGAATAGTGAGGAAACGGGAAAATTTGAGGAGGATGTGGCTCATCTAACTTGTTTCTGTCTTGGTTATTTTTAGACGGTTGGGCGACAGTTGGGTGGACTGCCACTTAGCCTGAGGGGGCTGGGCTCTCTTCAACTGGGTAAAATGGACCCAGGAACTGTGACCTAAAAGCTTGACTGCTGTAGATGTGGTAAGAATTACTGTATATTGGCCCTTCCACCTAGGAGTAAGGCCCTTTGCATGTAGATCCTTGAGTAGAACCTGGTCACCTGGAGAAAGGGCCAAGGGGGTGTCTGGGTTTCCTTGTGTAGGTGGGGGAAGTGACCTTTCGGCGTGTTCTCTAAGTAATTGTCTTAAGAGAGAGAGATAGGGCAAGTAGGGTGCCAGCGGTGTGGGAAGAATAGGAAGTTCTTGTAATGCAAGAGGGCCCTCGTAAACTAGTTCAAATGGGCTGAGGCCTGTAGGGCTTCTACGTGTCGCCTATAGTCTGGTAAGGGCAAGGGGAAGTAGGGTTACCCACGATTGATGTGTCTCTATGGAGAGTTTGGTTAGTTGTTGCTTGATGAGTCCATTGGCCCACTCAACCTTTCCAGATGACTGGGGATGGTATGGAATATGTAGCTTCCAGGTAATGCTGAGAGAATCCGCCACCAGTTGGATTACTCTGGAAATGAAGGCCAGACCGTTATCAGATTGGATTGAGTGGGGAAGCCCAAAGCGTGGTATGATTTGTTCTATAATTATGGTAGCCACAGTGGATGCACTTTCCCCTGTAGTGGGGAAGGCCTCTATCCACCCTGAGAAGGTATCTACTAAGGTGAGTAGGTAGCGGAGTCTTTTGTGTCTAGGCATATGGGTGAAGTCAATTTGCCAATCCTCTCCGGGTTGATGCCCTCTAAGCTGATGGCTTGGGTGTATGTTGCGTATTGCCCCTTGAGCGTTTGCCTTTAGGCAGATTAGACACTGTTGGCCAATTTTTTTTAGGTGAGAGAGAAGGGATGGACACTCAATGATGGGATATAAAAAATTATATAGAGCTTGGTGCCCAATGTGTAGGGAGTTGTGGATGTCTCTTAGGATTTTTTGCGTTTGAGCTTCAGGGAGGACAACACGGTTCTGGATAAAGATCCATTGGTCAGGCATTATGGTTGCTTGTGGGTTTTGTAAAAGTCTACTTTTTTCTTCTGAGGAATAGGAAGGGGAGTATTGGGGGTTTAGGAAACAGATAGATTGGGAATTTTTTGTG